CCAGCATCTGTGTATTGTCCTTTGCAGTGCTAAGAGGTTATATTCTCAAACTTTATAGAAGCTTATAGAATTTTTAGAAATAAGTAAATTGCCTCCTAGCTCCCCTCATTAGACACATACTCTCCTTAGGGTCATAAATTTGAAGAAAAAAAAAAAGTTTAGTTTTCCCATTTCCTGTCTCTCATCCCTTCTAAAAGTTTAATGTGAATAAACTGCAGTAAGCTTCATCCTCCTACTTTTTTCCCCATCTTCATTGGTCCTTCTTCCTTTCTTGAAAGGTTGCTCAGATGACTCAGGCACTGTTCTCCACAGAGTTTTATATCTGGGTTTATTTTTCTGATGTGAGCCTTTCTTTTCACTTGCTCTCCAGGTGAGCCTGGCATTTGCTAGGAACCAGAGTGGACCCAGCAAAGTGGCCAGCAACAGAGTCCTGATCCAAATGGAGAAAGGGAACCAGGCGTACCTCAACCTGGAGTGGGAAACTTGATAGGAGGTCAGAAGTATTTCAGCTTTGGATTTTCATTTTCCTTATTTAAGGAACTGAGCACCAGAAGGTAGAGATCAGGGAAGAGAGAAAATATCAAAACTTCAGTGTACCCTTCAGATTTCATTTGTAGCCTTATTTAGCAGGTTCTGGATAGTGAAAAATAATGGAATTATAATTTATAAGCAATTACAGCTGCATGACAGGTTGTTTCCTTATATGGTACCATTATTGCAACACCAAGAATATAGTAGTTTACAACGACAAACAGGAAGTAAAGATGATGGTAACTATTTTGGCAACCATTTATTACTTTAGGTAATACTATTAGATTTTTTGATTTTCATTTCTTCATGTTACTGATTTGTTTTTGAATCACATGGTTACTTAAATTAATTTTCCTTGACATTTCTATCATAATTTTATGCCATTGTTCATGCTGTCAACTCTGGGCTATCTCATTTTAACTATCTTTCATGTTAAATACTAATAAGGGACCCCGCGCCAAAACATTAACCTAAAAAGTGCAGAATCCAGTGAAAAATAAAAGTTTATAACATACTTAATACATGAGTATAGCAAATTGCACAAATAGCTTAATCAGCACCCGGTGTGGTGTGTATGTTTGTATGTTTTAATGCTTTATTAATGCATGAGTATGATTAAGTTTTAGTGGCTTTCTGGTTATTAGTTATTTGTCTCTTTTTGGCCTAGTAATGGCAGAACTGATTTCAGATTTTCATTCTTACCAAGGGAGACCTTGGATCTTTGTGCTCAGAGGTTGTCATCATTATGTCCTTAGTAATAAACATGACTCTGGTACATTCTTCTTTTGCTGAGATGTCCTAATTTCTAATTTCCATCCATTCATGTTTAGGGTATTTTTCACTTAATCCATGTTTTCCTAATCATTGCCACTCTTTATTTTGCTTCTTTATTCATGTAAATAGCATCTGGAATTCTTATTTTCTGTGAGACTTTTGGTCATCAGACAAATAGCAGTTTGGACTCTGGCAGGAATTATTATTCTAATTTCTTCTCATTGATACCTCTTTAATATATTCTTTATATACTCAGATTATTGTTACCACTTCTTTTGCAATAAAATCAACACATTCTTTTCACTGAGATATTAATTGTTTTATATGCTGATCTTACTCATTATTTACAGATGGCTTTGTCTCACAGTTTTCAATTTTTTTGTGTGTGATCTCTACATAAATGACAACTCTTTGTTGAGCTTTAAGCCTGCCTTTTAGTACGAAAGTTTGCTTTATATTCACATTATACATGTCTGTTTTAGTAATTAGTTTCCCTAGTAAGCAAAAGAAACTACATTTTAGGTGAACTGTGTTTTCAGTTTAATATCCAGTAAATAATCTGACATATTTGACATTTCTGGCCCTAGATACCAAAACTACAGTTAAAATAATCTTGTCAGTGTTACAGGTACACTTCAGAGAGAAAACTGAAAGAGGAAGCCAGAGAGGCTGGCTGTAAGTGTAGTATAATAGAATAGGAGACTAAAGTCTAGTTCTCTTTGACTGTGTAACATTACTCAAATCATTAGATTGTTGGATCTTTTTCTAATAGTTTCCTTATTCATAAACTAGAGAAGTGCCAGACTTCTCTGGGTTGCTGTGAGAAACATCTGAGAGTATGTTATATAAATGTAAAGTTTCAATTTAGACAGATTGAAATGGGTTTGAGCATTGGTTTCAGTAGTGATTTAATTATAGAGGGTTATTTGATGTGTTTGGTTTTTTTAATCCTCACCTGAGGATTTAAAAAGATATAGGTATTGTTACTGGTTTCAGAGATAAAGGAAAAGGAAAAGAGAGAGAAAAACATCAATGATGACAGAGAGTCATTGATCAGCTCCCTCCTGCAAACCCCACACTCGGATCAAGCCTGCAATCTGGGCATGTGCGCTGACTGGGAACTGAACAGAGAACTGCTGATGCTCAACCAATGAGCCATACCAGCTGAGCCCAAAGATATTTTTATTTATTTTTTAGAGAGAGAGAAGAGAAACATCGCTGTGTCAAAGAAACATCAATCTGTTGCCTTCCTTATGTGCCCGGAGCAGGAATTGAACCGCAATCTTTGTGGTGTATAAGATGACGCTCAGCCAGTTGAGCTACCTGACTGGCTAGGCTAATGGGTTTTGGGATGATTCAGTGTTTGAAAGGTGCTCCTGTTCCGGTACTGATTGCTGTTGTAATGTCAGTGTCCACTATAGCTACCAAGTCACTTTCTCTCACTTGTGCATGGCACATTTATAGGTTTCTTTGAACATCCTATTTAAACATTTGTCATGAATTTGCTTTCATTCATATGTGGCTTTGAACTGTGCTAATCAGATTTCTTCCATCTTCTCACCCCTTATGATTGATGTGTGGTGGTATTGGTTTTTTTTTTTAATGACAATTGCCTTTCAGTCTACCTCAAAGCTTAGAATAGTCATAGCTCCTTTTTCAAAATATATTTTTTATTGATTTCAGAGAAGAAGGGAGAGGGAGAGAGAGAAATGTCAATGATGAGAGAGAATCATTGATCCGCTGCCTCCTGCATGCCCCACAAATCTAGGCATGTGCCCTTGATGGGAATCAAACCAAGGATCCTTTAGTCCACAGGCCAATGCTCTATCCACTGAGTTAAACCAGCTAGGGCCGTGGTCGGCCAACTGTGGCTCATGAGCCACATTCAGCTCTTTGGCCCTTAGATGTGGCTCTTCCACAAAATACCACAGCTTGGGCCTGTCTATTTTGAAGAAGTGGTGTCAGAAGAAGTTTAAGTTTAAAAATTTGGCTCTCAAAAGAAATTTCAGCCGAAACCGGTTTGGCTCAATGGATAGAGCATTGGCTTGGGGACTGAAGGATCCTGGGTTCGATTCCGGTCAAGGGCATGTACCTTGGTTGGGGGCATATCCCCAGTGGGGGGTGTGCAAGAGGCAGCTGATTGATGGCTCTCTCTCATCGATGTTTCTAACTCTCTCCCTTCCTCTCTGTACAAAATCAATAAAATAAATATTTAAAAAGTTTTAAAAAAAATAAAAATAAGTGCACATAGTTTCTTGAGCTGGACTTGACTCTTTAAAAAAAAAAAAAAAAGAAAGAAAGAAAGAAATTTCAGTCATTGTACTGTTGATATTTGGCTTTGTTGACTAATGAGTTTACCGACCACTGGGCTAGGGCATACCATTGAATTTTTTTCTGCATATGATCTTTGTTAAAGGATGATTAAAAGACAAAACAGAAGAAGGAATAAAAAAACTAAGAACTCAACTATAATAGAACTGTAAGAATTCATTTTTTGGATTTTAATAGTTAATTCCTAGATTTATAATAGGCTCAGGTCAAGTTACTATAGAAGGGGTAAGATTAGTAATATGCAGTAATTTTTATTGACCACAATTTTCTTCAGAATCTTTGTTTACCAGTTTATTAACCTTTAAGAATGTTCTTTTTTAAAATATATACATATATATATATATATATATATATATATATATTGATTGATTACAGAGAGGAAAGGAGGAGAGAGAGAGAGAGAGAGAAATGTCAGTGATGAGAGAGAATCATTGATTGGCTGCCTCCTGCATGCCCCCTACGAGGGATGGAGCCCTTGACCGGAACTGAACCCTTGACCCTTCAATCTATAGGTTGGCACTCTATCCCCTGAGCAAAAACGGTTAGGGCTAAGAGTGTTCTTTTTAATTTTACCTCTGTGCCTTGGTGTGGAGCCTTCTCATTTATTGGAAGCTCCTATGCTCTGAAGTTCCCATTTCTATCAATTATATGCCTGTTAACTTATTTTGCCCTACTTACCATTTAATGCAGAGGTTGCCAACCGGTGGTTTGTAGATCACTGGTAGTCTGTGAGGTCCAAAAGGTTGGCGACTGCTGGTTTAAGGAAACCTTTGGAGCAACGGTTGCCAACTGGTGGCCTGTGGACCACTGGCGGTCAGTGAGGTCTAAAAGGTTGGCGACCACTGATTTAAAACATCTTTTGCCTTTTTCACACTACCTGTTTTTTCTTCCCATCTTTGTTCCCTAATCACCCTGATGTCTCTGTGATTAGGGAACAAAGTATTTGCAGTTACTGGTGACTCCTTCCAGAGATACTCTGTACAATAAGTAAATTAACGCATACATTCCCTCTTAACCCTTTTAGAAAATATATTATGATATATTAATGTATGCTGTTTTTCATTTTTTTAAAAATTCATAATTTGGGAGATTATTCTATGTTAGCATATGAAGCACTCCCTCATTTTTTTTATGGTCTCTTGTCAGCTCTGCTTTGATCTGAAATTTTAGACACTCAAATAGTTCTCTGGGGGCTGAGGTATTTCTTCTGGGAATTCTTTTAAAATTAATATAGCTTTTACCTGATAGGTTATATATACAAATAATCTCAGATTTTTTTCTTTATGTACAGAAAACCTAATTGTTATAATTAAACATGCTATTAAAATCTTAATAATATAATGAAATTATTTTTATCTTTATAGTTTGAATCAGCTTGGGTATTGACAAATATTGCTTCAGGAAATTCTCATCAGACCCGGATTGTAATTCAGGCAGGAGCTGTGCCTATCTTCATAGAATTGCTCAGCTCAGAGTTTGAAGATGTCCAGGAGCAGGTAAAAAAATGAAACAGATAAAAAGAAGCAGGTGAAAGAATACAATTTTCTTACATTTAGGGCCTCAGTTTTACCATTTGGCCATGACATTCTATGGTTCATTACAGGGAAGATTCTAGAAATCTAACTTTACCAAAGTAAAAAATTTATAGTGAATATAGGTTGAATTTCTTTAATCCCTATAGATATAGATATAGATATACTTTTTAGATTACTAATTGAGCTTTTTTTTTTTTTTTTTTTTTTTATAGAAATCTAGTGTTGATTGAAATAACAGTTCTTTGCCATTTTTGTGCACAAAAGACTTAGGAAACATGAATTTTTTTTTTATTACTGCCAACTTTATCAAAATTCATAAATACAAAAATCTAAATGGGAATAATTTTCTTCTGCAGCTTTATTGATGTATAATTGACTTATAATAAACTGCAAATATATAAATTAATAAGTTTTGACATATATGTACCCATGAAACCATTATGATAATCAAGAAAGTTGATATATCCATCTCCTGTCCAAAAGTTTTGTGTTTTTTTATTGTTCTTAAATTTTGGTTTACTGTTTTCTTTTGCAAGCAAGCTTAAAATACATTTTTAACCAGCTGAGTAAGCCATAGGCATCCCTGCTCTATACCAAGAGCTGTGTGTAATGTTACTTAGGGGTGGGTTCCCGAAAGTTTAAGAACTGTTTTCCCTCTTTATGAAGTTTACTACCTTGCGTGTAAACTTTGTAATATTGTTGATCTTCTTTCCCCAACCCCACAACTATCTGACTTCTTGATGAGTGAGCTTAGGGATGTTAGTGATGTCCATGTATAATATGTTGATTAACTACAGTGTAATTTTGTAGTTATTGTGATTTGTTAACTTCTTTAAAAAGAATTATAAGAGTAAAAATATACCAACTGTCATTAATGAATGATTTTTCACAGGCAGTCTGGGCTCTTGGCAACATTGCTGGAGATAGTACCATGTGCAGGGACTATGTTTTAGACTGCAACATTCTTCCCCCTCTTTTGCAGTAAGTTTCTTTTTCCTTTTTAAGTAATAAAAATATGGGATATTCTTCAGAAATTTAATACATCTTTGGAAATCATTTTCGATTTTTCTGTTATTTTTATTGTTGTTGTTTTAGACATTTTCTTACTGACTTACTCAGATAATTTCTTCAGGCATCTGAAGAAATTCCAGTCCCAAAATTCTGAATTATTTGGTTAGAATTAAGCTGTTGCTCTGGAGAAAATGGGTTAGTATTTATATTATGCCATCACAGAATTAATGTTCATTATATTGTTTACTATTGTATCATCAAACTTGTAGGTTATTTTCAAAGCAAAACCGCCTGACTATGACCCGGAATGCTGTGTGGGCTTTGTCTAATCTCTGTAGAGGGAAAAGTCCACCTCCAGAATTTGCAAAGGTAAGGATTATACTTGTAGGAAATTGGCAGAAAAATTACAATTAAAAAAGTGAGCAACCAATATAAATATGAGAGGAAAGAAATAATAAAATTCTAACATAAGTTTTATCAAAACTTTTTTCTAGAGAAATGGTTTGTTTTTGTTTGTTTTGTTTTGTTTTTGGATAAATTTTCACTGTCTGAAAAAGCTCTGAATTTGTAAACCTAGCCTTTTTTGTTTATAACAAAGTATCTAAAAATACAGAATTTCCTAGCTAAACACTTATGGAAGTTCCTTTACCTCTTTGATCTGCAATGAGTGTGTTTTGACAAGGATTCTCTCAAAATTAAACTTTGCTCTCTGAAATTATTTTCCTTGGGCTCTCTCTGCCTCATTGAGTAAACTACAAGGCTACTTACAGCTTTCCCAAAGATGGACATGCCACTTGACCACCTGCTACTCCATCTCTAGAAGTACTACTAATCACTCCAGAAGTCAGCAAGTGTGTGTCTGGTTGCTTTTTGGAGTTTCTCACCTCACTTGCTTTTATTCTATGAATTTCATAATTATACCATCTTCCCTTTATAGGTTTCCCCCTGTCTGAATGTGCTTTCCTGGTTGCTATTTGTCAGCGACACTGATGTACTGGCTGATGCCTGCTGGGCCCTCTCATATCTATCTGATGGACCTAATGATAAAATTCAAGCAGTCATTGATGCAGGGGTGTGTAGAAGACTTGTGGAGTTACTGATGTAAGTTATCTTGAAGAAAGTGTATCTGCTTTATTTTTGTCCCAATAACAATTGCTACTCAAATATTCATTATATTGGCTTATTGTGCTTTGGGCTTCTGTCTTTTGTAATTGTTTATATTGATCTCAAGTCTGTTTGTTTATTTGTTTGTTTTGAGACTTATAAAGAACCTCTCACTTTTCTTCTGTTAGCATTCCTTCAGGAACACTCGGTAAACTGATGTATGTAATTTCAGCTCATATTTACTGGATGGTGAAAGGCATATTGCCACTAACCATAGTCATTCCTTACCTTTCTGTCTGCTTTAGAACTTATTCTAGACTGATGTCATCCTTTGAATTTTAATTTTCTATATCTCTTTGTGATGCCTTTGACTGATGGAGTGGAAGGATTTACTGACAACATAAATAAAGACTGTATTATTCAAATCTATAACAATCTATAATAATAAAAGCATTATATGCTAATTAGACTGAACATCCTTCTGGTAGGAAGCCAGGACTGCATCCGTGGGATCAAGGCATCTGCTGAGGCTTTGATGGAGGAATCTAGGCAGTCCCTTTTCCCCACCCGCCCCTCATCCCCCTGCTGTGAGGGAGGATCAAGGCAGCCTGGCTGTGAAGGCCTACTCTTGCACGAATTGCACGAATTCCGTGCATTCTAGTTTTTAGAAAAAAAGTTAGAGTGGTAAGATAATGGGGAAATGATATACAATTATAAGCCACTTGAAATTTAATTTAGGTAAGTACAAAGTCGATGAAAGGAGACCCTGCATCAAACATGACTCGTGAAATGAATTAGATAAGTGTAATATACACAATGACAAACTCTGGGATTATAGCTGGTTGCAGAGTGCGTGCAGATCAGAAGCATAATGCTATTGGGAATTAAAAACAATCTGATGCTCAAGGGGTCAGAAGTACAGCATTTAAAATCTGGGAAGTAATCTTTTGAACTGTTTAGTCTCTAGATTACATATGTATCGTAACCATTTCTTTTTAATCACCCAATATTAAATGTGAAGAAACTGTCACAGTTTTGAGAAGAGTGATCAATCTTATTAAAAGGGAGAAAAAAAAATAGGATTTTGAAGGAAAATTAAAAGACATTAACTTAGCCTGAAATAAAGATTTAATATTTGTCTTCAAATATATAAAGGGTTATGTGAAAGAGTATGTCAGGAGTGGTTCAGAGACCAAATAAAGAGAAATGGAAGACTATGGCAAACAATGAGAGGGAAAACTTCGAATCCCAGTGATGGAATACCAAGAAATATTATTAAGAAAGATTTGTAGTTTTTTTATCCAAAAATACAAAATAAACCAAGAGTCGGATCTTCTAGGGGATAGCAAACATTCTGTCATCATGATAGGGTTCCCTTAATAACCACCATCAGTACCTTTCCATCACATGTTATTTAGTTTGTGTTTTAGCTCTACGGAAAATAAATTAAGGATAGAATTTTTAGAAATAACATTTCTTTTTATGGTTGCAGGCATAATGATTACAAAGTGGTTTCTCCTGCTTTGCGGGCCGTGGGAAACATTGTCACAGGGGATGATATTCAGACACAGGTATGAATATGTGACAACTGTTTTTTTTCCTTCAAAAATAAAAATTAGGCAAGTAAAACAAACAAAAAAATTTGGTTAACTACTTTTACAACCTTTTTGATGTGGCACTTATAGAAATTTTGGGTCCCCCTATGATTTAACTTAACCTTTGGTCGAGCAGGTTTCTTTCCTACTACTCCTATTTGAAATGGTTCTAGTGAGCATTTGAAGCCTTCATTAGCATCTTTTCTCTTTCTCTGTCATCTTTATCTCATCATTTCTGATAATTTTCTCCTTTTTGCATATGGTCAGTAAGTCTCCTGTGTGAGGAGGATTCTTCCCTTCTAGCTCCTAATGTCACTTCATTCAACTTCTGTATCCAGATACATTACTCACAGTGGATTGGCCAGCCATTTTCCTTCTCGATCTCTTAGCTACATTGGCACATTGCTGTCATCTTTAAATTATCTTTTTAGGCTGATGTGGTGTTGAAGTATTTTCGGTCTCCTAACTTATTCATTATTTCCCTTTAGTGAGCTCCTTTTTCTGTTTCTTACTTTTTGTGGGAATTCTCCAGGAGATAATCCTTCAGCCTCATTCACTGATCTTTTTACAAATTCAGCCATCACTTTGAGAATTAGGTTTTAGCCTTACCTTGCTTTTTCTTAACCACCACTTACTTTCAACAGACATTTAATGTCTTTAGTACTTTTCTGATCTCTAAAATTAAGGAAGATAGAGTTTGTTCTGTCTTCAAACTCTCAAATGTTCTTTAAATTTATTCTACCCACTATGGTACTCATTGTTTTCCCTTATATATGTGGGCCTCTGCTTATTTATGTTCCTGTTTTCAGTAAATGGGACCGAAAGTTACCTGAGCAAAAACCTGGACATCAGTTTGATTCTTCTTCCATACTATCATCAGTCTCTAACTATTATTCCATCTCTACTTATCTCTTGTAGTGCTTAGTTCAGACATTTCTTGTACCATTCCCATGTTACACAAATCTGATCACATATCTTTTTATGGCCCTCTATATTGTCCTTGGATGATGTTTAAGATCATATAAAATCTGGCAGCTGTATCGCAGGGCTGGAGTTGCTCAATAGTTGAACATCAACCCATGAACCAGGAGATCTCCAGTTCAATTCTTATTAAGGGCACATGCCCAGGTTGTTGGTTAGATTCCTTGTGGGAGGCATACAAAAGGCAGCCAATCTATGTTTCTTCTCTCATCGACCAATTCTGACAAATACCCACTATCCATTACTCTCTCTCTAAAATTAATAATAAAAACATTTAAAAATAAATAAAAATAAAATTTGGTAACTACATAATGGAATACTATGCAACAGAAGGAAGAGATTCTTAATCATTGATATAAGAAATCTCTCCAAGTTATCCTATCTAATAAAAGAATAATATGCAAATCGACCATACCTCTGCTATCCCAACAAGCCACGCCCAGCAGCCAATCAGGAGCAAGTATGCAAATTAACCCAAGCAAGATGGCTACAGCCACAGAGCTGCAGCAAACAAGAGGCTTGGATTTTCCCGGCAATGGAGGAAACCAAACTTTCCACCTGCCCTGGTCTGCCCTGCCTCCACTCAAAGTTACAAAGTTTTAATTATAGAAGATAAATTAATCCCAACAAAAATGACTACAGCCACGGAGCGAGCAGGAGGCTTGGGTTTCCCTGGCGATGGAGGAAACTAAACTTCCTGGCCTGTGCTCAAGGCTATAAAGTTTCAATTATAGAAGATAAATAAATCCCAGATACCAGGGCCTCCTCTTGGGTTGACAGGGGGTATAGCTGGCCTGCAAACCACCCATAGGCCCGTGGGCTGCCCCAAACCCAAACCCCATACCCCAAGGGAACCCCCACCCTGATCTGGGACACCCTTCAGAGCAAACCAGCCACCTCCATCTGTGCATCAGACCTCTATCCTATCTAATCCTATCTAATAAAAGAATAATATGCAAATTGAACTAAAATATTTATTGAATGAAGTTCTGAATCTATACATCAATTCTGACTTTCTCTTAAGTTTCAGTCCCATTTATCTAGTAGCCTGTTAGATATTTCTGCTTGCATGTCTCACATTTGTCTTGTACAGTTTATGTTCTTCCCCCACAAAGCATGTTCCAACTCTTGATTTTTTCCATTGCAATTAAAGATACAACAACTAAAGATACAACTCTTCACCCACACTTGAAACTTTGCAGTCATATTTGAAGTCTCCATATCTCTAACACTTTATAAGTCACCAGGTCTTGTTGATTCTTACTGTTATGTCTTATGTTAATGTTGCCTGATCCATGTCTTATGTTAAATGTTGCCTGATCCATGTCTTATGATCTTATTTTGGTTCTTGTTTTTTTTTTTTCTCACACAAAGGTTGTTGCTGTACCCACCTGATTTAACTTCCTACTTTCCCAAGCATTATCCCCTTCAATTTATTCTAATAACAGCTTAACCTTTCTTAAAATAACTTTGTTCACATTATTTATTTTCCTCTTAGAAATAAGCTTCACCCTAGCTGGTTTGGCTCGGTGGATAGAGCATCAGCCTGCAGACTGAAGTGTCCCAGGTTTGATTCCAGTCAAGGGCACATGCCTGGATTGTGGGCTCAATCCCCAGTAGGGGACATACAGGAGGCAGCCAGTCAGTGACTTTCTCTCATCATTGATGTTTCTATCTCTTTTCCTTCCTCTCTGAAAACAATAAAGATACTTTTTAAAAAAATAAAATAAACTATAGGGAAACTTAAAAAAAAAATAAAAAAGCCCAGCTGGCATGGCTCAGTGTTTTAGCGTTGACCTATGAAACTGGAGGTCACGGTTCAATTCCCAGGTCATGGCACATGCCCGAGTTGGTTGCGGGCTTGGAGTAAAGAAAAAAGCTTATTTTATGCCTAAGAGATAAAGAACTTGGAAAGACTTTAAGGAATTTGCACTTTAAGATTTTAGTCTCCTTTTTCTTTTTGGCTAAATGTTAATTTTGGTCTAATTTCTTACTTGTGGTAGCCAATCTCAGCATTTTCTCATTTTCTTAAATATTTTTTAATATGTTTTTATTGACTTCAGAGAGAGGAAGGGAGGAAGGGAGAGAGAGATAGAAACATAAATGATGGAAATCATCAATTGGCTGCCTCCTTTATACCCCTTACTGGGGGATCAAGCCTGCAACCCAGCCATGTGCCCTGACTGAGAATCGAAACTGGCCTGGTTCCTGGGTCAACGTGCATTTTCTCTTTTTTGAAAGGTCTCACACATTTATTATTGAACCAACTTACTACTTACTTACTACTGCAGAAAAAAAAAAGTGAGTAGAGCAAAATCATGAGTCCATTAATTTTCCAATTAAAATGCCCCAACTGTCTAGACAGTATCTTTTCAATCATTTAAATGTGTAGGCAACCTGGATACAGAATAAATATGAGAGTCATCTCTTGTGTGATTCCTCATAGACCTAGTTTGGTTCTTCTCCAATGTCTCCTCTTCGAGTTGCACCTGATTTTATTACAGTTTTTATTCGAATCCATTGGGGAATGAGCCGGTTCTGTTTTTGTTCTGTGGCCAGGAACTTCTTGATCCTGAAAGTCTTGTCAGAAGACATGGTGAAGGAGAAGCTAACGTATGCACCTTTATGGTGGAGAAATAGCTCGTTTTCTCATTTTCAACCTATCTTAGGGATCCTTTCTCTTTAATTTCTTTATTGAGTTAGGAATTACATATGTGTCTTTATTCTCCTATTATTCCCTCAACTCCCCCTCCCACTCATCCCATCACTTCCCTGTTATCTTTGTCCATTGGTTAAACTTATATGCATGCATCCAAGTCCTTTGATTGATCTCTCCCCCTAAGCTCCACCCTCCCATACCGTCCCTTTGAAGTTTGATGTTCTGATCTATGTTTCTGTCTCTGAATCAGTTTTTGTTCATAAGTTTATTGTTCATTATATTCCATAAATGAGTGAGATCATGTGATATTTATCTTTCTCTGCCTGGGAATGTAAAATCTATCTTATTTCATTCAGCTAACGCTCTCCAGCTCCACCCATGCTGCTGTGAATGGCAAGAACTTTTTACCGCAGCGTAGCGTTCCGTTGTGTAGATGTACACAGTCTTCTAACCCACTCACCTGCTGACGGGCACCAGGCTGTTTCCAGACCTTAGCTGTGGTGAATTGTGCTGCTGTGAACATAGGGGTGCATATGTCCTTTCTGACTGGTGTTCCTAGTTTCTTGGGATATATTCCCAAAAGTGGGATCACTGGGTCAAATGGGAATTCCATTTTTAGTTTTTTGAGAAACCCCACAGTGGCTGCACCAGTCTGCATTGTCACCAGCAGTGCACGAGGGTTCCTTTTTTTTCTCCATATCCTCGCCAGCACTTGTCGTTTGTTGATTTGTTGATAGCTATTCTGACAGGTGTGAGATGGTACCACATTGTCGTTTTGATTTGCATCTCTCAGATGATTAGTGACTTTGAGCATGTTTTCATATGTCTCTTGGCTTCCTTATATCATCTTTAGCAAAGTGTGTATTTAGGTTCGTTGCCCATTTTTTGATTGGGTTGTTTATCTTCCTTTGTTAAGTTGTATGAGTTCCCTGTAAATGTTGGAGATTCCTTTCTCTTCTTTGCTTTTGAAATCTTACCCACCCTTCCTATAAAGTATTTTCCTGACAACTCTTTCCAAAGTATTATGTTTAATTTCTGATATGTTTATTTTCCAGGGCACATGTTTTGGTATTTGTAAAGTTATTTTGTGACACCTTTTATACTGTTATTTAGAAAGATTGTATTTGTTTAAAGTTTGGTGATTTTTTTTTTTTTTTTTGAGCTACATTAATTTAACTGGCAAAAAAAAAAAAGACTTTTAATTTGCATTTCTTTTATTGTGAGATGATTTTTTATTAAAATTTTAGTTTTTCACCATTACATATTAAAGATAGCAACCCTCTTATCTGTTGATTTTCCCATTTTCTCATTGTTTTTATGCTTGAAAAGTCCCTCACTATCCTAAAACCAGCTACTTACTGATATTTTCTTCTGTTTTATGATTTTTCTTTTATATTTACTCATTAAACCAACTGCAAAGTTTATTTTTATAACTAGGGTTAAGAGCGATTTTTAAAAAAAATGTTTTCAACTCCTTTATTCTAGTACCAACTATTAAATAAGACTACCAATTATTGTAGGAGGAAAGGATTAATTTCATTATATACTTAATTCTTTATAAATATCTGCATTTGCTTTTGTACTTGTTATCTATTCTGTTGTTTGGTGGTTGATTCTTGAGCCAGCCACCTATTAATAATTTTAATCATGACAACTTTATGATTTTAATTTTGGTAGAGTAGCTCTTCTTTATATTTTATCTCCCTCACCTTTGTAAGCTGTTTGGTAGCTGAAGAGATATTCTTTTTATCTTAATATCTTATAATGCTTCATTAAGTATGTATTGGTTCATTGACTACCAGTTAGAGGGTTATCAGAGGACTTAAAATTCTGAGACCACTTCTTAATTTTTGGCCACTTGATATGTACCCATTCAAAGGCATTTTAATGTGCTGTAAGGATAGGAAAGTAAATAACTAAGACATTATTATGTCTTATTAAGTATGGTTTTAGTAGTTGAGAATGTGTACAATGAAACTTTTGATAATCATAGAAACTATTACTAGCAGTGAATACTTTTTTTACATACTAGGGACCTAGTACACAAAATTTGTGCATTGGAAGTGGGGAGTCCTTCAGCCCAACCTGCCCCCTCTTACATACTGGGAGCCCCACGGGGAGCAAGTCTAAGTTCTACCTGGCCTCCCTTTGTGGGAGGCAACTGGGATGGTGGGAGGCAACTGGGCTGATTAGGGGAAGGCACCAGCCCCATCACCCCACTGCTGCAGCCACTGCCAGTCACCACAGTCACTAAGGTGGTTTCAACACGGACTCCAGTCTCTTCACCAAGAAAAAAATGACAATTTTCTTAAGGCATTTTCAAGATGTTTCTTTCATGGGATATACATTTCTTTCTCTCTTTTTTTTTCTTTTATCCTCACCTGAGACTATGTTTCCACTGACTTTTAGAGAATATGGAAGAGAAAGGGAAAGACAGAGAGCAACATCAAAGTGAGAGGAATACTTTGTTTGGTTGCCTCCTGCATGAGCCCTGATCTAGGCCCCGGCCAGAGAAAAGCCTGCAACCTAGGTACATGCCCTTGATCAGAATTGAACCGAGACCCTGCTGTCTGCAGGCCGAGGCATTATCCACTGAGTCAAACTGGCTAGGGCAGGATATGACATTTCTTAGCCCTCCAGCAGTGGACCTTCGTTTTTTTCTCCAGAAGTGTAGTGGAAAAACCCTAGATCACCTTTTTGGATTCTTATTACCCAAGTTACTAAGAATATTACCAGTGGCATACAGGAAGCTTAGCCATTGTGCAGTCAGAAAAGGTGTTTCCTCTATAATTCACACCAGTGGAGGGCTGGGCCCTGCCCAGGCCTAAAGCCTCTGGCCGACGCTTTAGGCCTGGGCAGGGACCCTCTAGCTCCCTCTGATCACCGGCTCCGCCCCTGCCCAGGCTGAAAGCTTCTTCAGCAGGAGCAGACCCCCAGCTCCCTGCGGCCAGCTGCAGGGGGTCCGCTCCTGCACCAGGCCGAAGCAACCCCCAGCTCCCTGCCATCAATGGCAGGGGGTCCACTCCTGACCAGGCCTTACTTCACATTGACCTGGGTGCCAGGATGTTCCTGAGACACAGGCCCTGGGCACCTGTGTATGCAAATTAACCGCCATATTTTTTGGCGGTTAATTTGCATAGTCACTCTGATTAGCTATAGGTGTAGTGAAGGTACAGTCAATTTACATGTTTGCCTATTAGTAGGTAAGATATGAAGTTATTTGTTTCTAAAATTTTAAGGGGGGACATTATTTCTTCGCCTTTTTCCTAAAATAAAGTTTTTGTAAAGATTTACTTGCATCACTAAGTAAAATTTTCAAACTTCTTATTTTAGGTAATTTTGAATTGCTCCGCTCTGCAGAGTTTATTGCATTTGTTGAGTAGCCCAAAGGAATCTATCAAAAAGGAAGCATGTTGGACAATATCAAATATCACAGCAGGAAACAGAGCCCAGATCCAGGTAATTTCATAGCATCTTTTTTTTTCTTCATATTTTTATGGGATAAGTACGATTTTTTTGTGTCAGTTATTAAAATATACCAAGAGGCCTGATGCACAAAATTCATGCACAGGTCTCCAATTTGAGACCCCTCAAGGGATGTCTGACTGCCCATTTAGGCCTGATAAACAGGCAGTCGGACATCCCTCTCACAATGCAGGACTGCTGGTTCCCACTGCTCACCTGCCTGCCTTCCTGATTGCCCCTAACGGCTTCTGCCTGCCAGCCTGATCTTCCTCTAACCACTCCCATGCCAGCCTGATTGATGCCTAACTGCTCCCCTGCCAGCCTATTTGCCCCCAACTTCCCTTCTCTGCCGGCCTGGTCACCACTAACTGCCCTCCCTGCAAGGTTGATCGCCTCCAACTGCCCTCCCTTGCAGGCCTGGTCCCTCTCAACTGCCATCTCTGCTGGTCATCTTGTGGTGGCCATCTTGTGTCCACATGGGGGAAGCCATCTTGTGTGTTGGAGTGATGGTCAATCTGCATATTACTCTTTTATTAGATAGTATAGAGGCCTTTTATAGATAGTTGGGGGCTGGCTATTTTGCCCTGAAGGGTGTCCCGGATCTGGGTGGGGGTTCCCTTTGGGTATGGGGCAGCTTGAACAAGGGGCCTGTGGTGGTTTGCAGGCTGGCCACGCCCCTGGCAACCCACACAGAGGCCCTGGTATCTGGAATTTATTTACATTCTACAATTGAAACTTCGTAGACTGGAGCAGAGCTAATGTAAGCGGTTGGCCATTCTGGGTTGGGGCTCCTGTGAGAAGGGAGTTACAACCAGAAAGTTACAACGCACATGTCAGGGTGGATGTTATGAGAGAAATGAGAATAGCAGAGGAACAAAGAATTGAACTTTATTGTGGGTGGTCCACGACAGGATAATAAAATAAAAGAGAAAACTCATACCGGTAGGTAAAACTAAATTACAAGGTCACAGACTCCAGAGAGGGTGCTATTGATATCAAGTATGGACAAAAGGTTAAGGATAATGAGTACTTAACTCCTTCCTATTTATTTTTAAAAGGGGGAGGGATGTTATTAGTGAAACTACCTGAAAAGTTATAATTATGCCGAAACCGGTTTGGCTCAGTGGATAGAGTGTAGGCCTGCCGACTGAAAGGTTCGATTCCAGTCAAGGGCATGTACCTTGGTTGCGGGCACATCCCCAGTAGGGGGTGTGCAAGAGGCAGCTGATTGATGATTCTCTCTGATCAATATTTCTGACTTTCTATCCCTCTCTCTTCCTCTCTATGTAAAATAAAATATATATATATATATATATATTTTAAAAAGTTATAATTAGTATCATGAACACTTAAAAAAACACACACATATTTTATTGATTTTAGAGAGGGAGGAAGGAGAGAGAGAGAGAAATATTGGCTGCCTTAGGCATGCCTCCTACTGCAGTTTGAGCCCAAAAATTCAGGCATATGCCCTTTCTGGGAATCGAACTCGATACTTTTTGGTGCACGGGATGATGCTCTACTAACTGAGCTATAGCAGCCAGGGCATATTATTAACACTTATAAATTTATTTTATTTTTTTAAAGAAGTAATTTTTTTATATATATTTTATTGATTTTGTACAGAGAGGAAGGGAGAGAGATAGAGAGTTAGAAACATCAATGAGAGAGAGTCATCGATCAGCTGCCTCTTGCACACTCCCTACTGGGGATGTGCCCGCAACCAAGGTAGATGCCCTTGACCGGAATCGAACCCGGGACCCTTCAGTCCCCAAGCCGATGCTCTATCCATTGAGCCAAACCGGTCCCGGCTACACTTATAAATTTTTGTTAATTGCAGTTGACATTTAATATTTTAGTTTCACATGTACACCATAGTGGTTAGACATTAAAAATCTTATACTTTTTCTTCCCATTTAATTTTTCTTTAATTTCAGACTGTGATAGATGGCAACATTTTCCCAGCCCTCATTAGTATATTACAAACTGCTGAGTTTCGGACAAGGAAAGAAGCTGCTTGGGCCATTACAAATGCAACTTCTGGAGGATCAGCTGAACAGATCAAGTAAGTACTAGCCAGGGAGCATCTTATAAGTTAAAGAAAAATTTATTTTCTCTGCCATTTAAGAATATTCAGTTCTAGCCTCCTGGAAGATTATTCTCGGTTTTATAATTAGACACAAATAGATATTCATTCCTTACATCTTTCCCATGCCTTCTTGCAGAAACAAATTCTGGATGTGAGAAGTATGCAAAGTTGAGGTTTGAAGCAGAAATAACTATAGGGGTGGCTTTAGTGCATTCTGGAGCTACTTGATCAGAAACATCTTGAATAGTCTAGAAAGTTATATGTAGAATCCTTAGAGTCCAGCATTAATAGTTAATTCTTGCTCTTTCAAGTTTAAATGGCTTAATTGGACCAGACTTGAAAGAGAGGTATATGGTAAAGTACTAAATTCATTGGAGTCAAGTGTCTCCTAAAGTACTATAGTATATAGTAAAGAGAGAGAGAGATTTGTATTAGCTTAAGGCTAAATGGCCCCTTGGGTAGTAACAGCTTATAATCTTAACTAGAGGTCCAGTGCATGAAATTCGTGCATGGGTAGGGTTCCTAAGCCCAGCCAGTGATCATGGCTGATCAGGTTCCCTAGCTCTCGGTCTCCTCCTTCCCTCACTCCCTCGGCACCCTGCCTCCGCCACTGGTCGTCTGCCATGTTCCGTGCTGCCCTCTGGTGGTCAGTGTATGTCATAGCAAGCAATCAAACTCTAGGTTGAACTCCTGAGGGGACAATTTGCATATTAGCCTTTTGTTATATAGTATTAGAGGCTTGGTGCATTGCATTTGTGCACTGGGGGCGCGGGAGCATCCCTCAGCCTAGCCTGTGCCCTCTCACAGTCCAGGATCCCTCGGGAGATGTCCAGTGGCTGTGGAGGGAGAAGAGGCTTCCTCCACCACCATATGCTGCGCTGCTCGCCAGCTGTGAGCCAGCTCAGGGCTTCTGGCTGAGCATCACTATCCCTGTGGGAACACCTTAACCACTAGGGGGCAGCTCCTGTAGTAAGTGTCTGCCCCCTGATGGTCAGTATGCATCATTGCAATCAGTCATTCTGCCATTCAGTTGATTTCCATATTAGCCTTTTATTACATAGGATGGCTAGAAAAGGCATTTGTATGGGTAGAAATCGTGAGTAATAATGAAATCTTAACATTTGTGACAGTATGGATGGACCTAGAGGGTATTATACTAAGTGAAATAACTCAGGAAAAGACAAATACCATATGATTTCACTTATATGTGGAATCTAAAGAATAAACGAAACAGAAATAGAATTATAGATACAGAGAACAGACTCAGGGTTGCCAGAAGGGAAGTGGGGGTGAGGACTGGGTGTGAAAGGCGAAGGGATTGAGAAGTATAAATGGGTAGTTACAAAATTGTCATGGGGATGAGATGTAAAATACAGGACAGTGAATATAGTCAATAATATTGTGATAACTATGTATAGTGCCAGATGGGTACTGGAAACACTGGGGAAACACTTTGTCAAGTATATCATTGTGCTGTATACTTGAAACTAATACAAAAAATATTGAATGTAAACTCTAATTTGAAAAAAAAAATGTGGACGGGAATTCCTCAAAAGAATATATAATTAAATGCTAAATTATAGACATTGAATACCTCAGATAGAAGAAAGAGTAGTGATGAAGAAAAAAATGAATCCTCAACTCTTAGCTTAACTTAAAAAAAACAAAAACATATATATAAATTTCAGAGAGGGAGAGGAAGGGAGAGAGAAACAGCAATGATGACAGAGGATCATTGATTGGCTGCCTCCTGCATGCCCTCTACTGGGGATCAAACCCATAACCTGAGCATGTGCCTTGACTGGAATCGAGCCTGAGACCCTTTAATCTGCAGGCTTATGCTCTATCCACTGAGCCAAACCAGCTAGGGCTGCCTTAACTTTCTTTATGGGAAATTCAGATGAGGGGAAGATGGTTTCCAATGAGTGTTAAAGCACCCACCCCTTCCTCATATGCAGTATCGGGGAAACAGCTATCTCTCATATTGCTGCTCCGGCGGTTTAAATGTAGGCACAGAATCAATGCTGTTTTTATTGCTCAGTTGAAAACTTAAAAATGAAAAGGTAAAGTAATCCTAACATTTTAGAAATTGATCAGGTATGGAAGAATAAATAAGAAGTATTTACCTGAAATTGTAAAGTTTATAAATAGGTTAACACATGCAACAGCTATTTTAGTAAAATTCATCATAGATAGGTTATTAATGGAAGATTTTCAAGTGGTCTTGTATGAGGTTAGGTCTTGTTTTCAACTTTCAAGATTCTGGTTCTGTGGTATGGCAAGTCCTTGAATACCATTTTGTTTTAGTGTTGAAACTTAACTCTTGTTTATATAAATGAGCCTGTAGTAAAATTGGTTTTGGTATGTGTTGTTTCTCATAAAGTTGGACAATGTTGAGGCCTTAATGTATGTACCATGACTGCCAGTATGCCACCACCAGATGGCAGTCATGTGCAATACTACAGAAGTTTGGAACAGTTAATAGTCAAGTTTTATGTTCAAATTCAGATTTGTAATTATTAATGGTCTCTTTATTGTATACCAAATCTGTTTTCTTAATTGAAGTGGTTAAACTGTACACATTTTAAAAATATTTCTAAAATACTGTGATAGCTTTCATCAGAAAGTATTTGGGATATTTTGCTCAGTTAGAAAAGAGAATGGCTACTACCTTTTTAAAATTTTTGCATAGCAGTTTCTTATTAATTAGATGAAGTATTTTGTTAAAAATATTCTTATAAAAATATGACAGTCCAAATTATAGAAAATAGACTGGCTTTCTGATACAGATATCTGTGTGGCTTCCGCTCTTTCTTGTTGGGAAGACAAGATGTAGATGGATTTCAATTATAAAAAACTAGAGTCCCAATGCACAAAATTCAAGTAGGCCTTCCTTCCCCCAACTGCTGACACCAGCTTTCCTCTGCCACCCAGGACCTGGGCTTCCCTTGTAGCCCTGGCTTCTACCAGAAGGACATTCAGTCTAATTAGCATATTACATTTTTATAATTATGGATATCTATAATTCTATGCTAAATAAACTACTATAGTGGTCTTTATTTACTAGTAGCCCAGTGCATGAAATTCGTGCACATTAAAGGGAATTAGAATATTTTAATGTTGCTATTTGTCCTTTTTCTATAGTAGAAGTGTCAGAGGAGAAAGAAAATTAGTTAAATATATATGAAAATCTCCCTCCTGTCAGAGTCTGGGGCATACTGTGGGACCCAGAGTCAAGTCCTGGCCCACTCACGCGTGCCTTGAAATTACTCCAGACCAAGACCTGGCCGGCCTGACCCCCATTGGGCGAAACCCAGACCCAACCAGTCCCACCCTGCGGGGCGCAGCCTCAGGTCCCCCAGCCCGGCCTGGCACCACGCAGCCTCAGGTCCCTGCTGATAGACTGTTACAACATCACGGCCAGTGTGATGGCCATTTGCATATTAGCTATTTATTATGATGATTTTAATGTATTTTTATTGATTCCAGAGAGGAAGATAGAAACATCATTGATGAGAGAGAATCATTGATCGGCTACCTCCTGCACACCCCAAACTGGGGGTTGAGTCCACAACTAGGCATGTGCCCCAACGAGGAATCAAACAATGACGTCCTGGTTTATAGGTTGATGCTCAATTACTGAGCCATATTAGTGTATAGGTTTTTGTGTGAACATAAGTTTCTACCTTATTGGGTAAATACCTAGGAGTAAGATTGCCAGATTGTATAGAAAGCTTTGTAAAATATTGGCAAGCTGTCTCTCAAAGTGGTTTATCCTAATTTGCATTCTCACCAACAAACAAAAAAATGAGTTTCTGTTGCTCCACGTCCTTATCAGGATTTGGTATTGTCAGTGTTTTGGGTTTGAGCCATTGCAATAGGTCTGTAGCATCATTGTTTTTATTTATAGCCCCCTACTGTTACATATAGTGTGTCCCAAAAATATGTATACACACTCTAACAGCTGATTCTATTGCATTTTGAAAATGAAATGTATCTTAATAAGCACTGTCTTTATAATTATTCAATGTGTGTATATTTTTTGTGTGGATACCGTGTATATGAGTTGAACATCTTTTTATATGCTTATTTGCCATTGTATATCTTTGGGGGTGTATGTTCAGATCATTTGCCCATTTTTACATTGAATTGATTTCTTTAATATTTAAGAGTTCTTTGTACAAAATTGAGTGGCCTGTTGGGCATGTTGTGCTGGCTTTCACAGCAAGTGTGCCATATTTTAGAGGTGCAGTTACCTATAGAAACAAAACTATTCTATTGTATGGGTTGTGCATGTTCAGAAAAAGAGTATTCCAGTTCCTTGGAGTCCGGTAATTGTGGAAGAAAAAAAGAATGGAACTGACTGCTAGAGAACTTTCATTTATTTATACTTTTTGTGTGTGGTAAGGTGTAGCCTATGGTTGAATGGATGCTCTTTTTTATTTCTGTAGTTAGGTTGAGAATGATCCTTCCATCACCCTAATAAGTTTTATTGAATTAAAAGCTTTGATAAAAGTACTCTTTTTATTACTTTAGGTACCTCGTAGAACTGGGTTGTATCAAGCCACTCTGTGATCTCCTCACAGTCATGGACTCTAAGATTGTACAGGTTGCCCTAAACGGCTTGGAAAATATCCTGAGGCTTGGAGAACAAGAAGCCAAAAGAAACGGCACTGGCATTAATCCTTACTGTGCTTTGATCGAAGAAGCTTATGGTAAGTTAGAGTATTGAACAGATGTCCTAAAGTTATTTTTTTTTCTCTTTGCTTTTCTGGCCTGTCCATATCTGTCATTAGCAAACACATAGAAAAAATTGCTTTCTTATGAGTTATAATGTGTAGTATGTAGAATTGGAAAAGAGTATGTATTGTAAATACAAAAGAAGCAAGTCCCCTTCATTTTAACCAGTTTTACACTAGGCTCTTAGGATCTTCCCAATTTTCTGACTGCTTTTCCTTAACTAATCCATCTGAGGCTCAAGAACACCCGTACCTACTGTATATGATGCCTGACTCCTTTGCTCTTGTAAGCTTGAGAGTTCTGATTTTATATTGCACCTTCAGTTCCTGTATGCCTAAAGAGTTCCTGAGAGTTTCATCTTAGAGTCACTTGGTTTCCTTATTCTTCTATCTCAGTCTTTACTGTATTCTTAATCAGTGTACTAATGTACTTTAACCTTTTAAGTTGCCTAAGTGATTTTAATACATGGTCTGGGTTAAAAACCACTGTTCTGGGATTTGTTTATTCCTGAGATTGAAATTAGGGATCATTGGAGTACATTTATTTTTCAGATTTATAAGCTAAAGGCAGAATAATTTTTCAAAATGATTTTAACAACTTATTTTTTTAAAATACATGATTACAAAAGCTATACCTATTTAGTATAAGGGGTTTTGAAATGTATAAAAAAGAAAAATGTTCTTTATCTAAAGATGTTTCTCCACAGAGATAACTATTGTTACTTCTTTATTTCTATATATGTTAATATGGATATGTTATATGAATATATATATTTTTTTCCATTTAGCAATGTTATTTTTTCCTTTGATGTTAATATTTTATTAAGATCAGATGGACTTGACCTTAATAAAGGGAATATGTTGGCTAATTGCTCTGGTCAGACTTCTAAGGTTAAGCAATAAAAACAGATTCTGACTGACTTAAGGATATTACACCTTCACTGTAATGATTTTGAATAACTCAGTGTCTAGGTAGATAGAACTAGAGCCAAGAATTAATTAGGCCGTAGGTATAGTCCAGCAGGAACATTTCTGCGACTTGCCCTTGGCACTGGATGATGTGGTGACTTATAGAAATTGCTGTTTCTGGGGTCTGACTGTTGTTTGTACATGCTTTTAAGATGTCAGTTTGTAATGTGCTGGTAGTCAGATATAATCCCCAGCAATACTGTCTATGCTATTACAAAGTACATATGAGATATAAAGGTAAGTGGAGAAGAGAGCCTCAAGAAAGGAGACATATTGCAAAACATCGCTTCATTGGAATTTCCTATAGATGACAGATTTTCCTTTGTTCTTTATTCTAGGTCTGGATAAAATTGAGTTCTTACAGAGTCATGAAAACCAGGATATCTACCAGAAGGCCTTTGATCTCATTGAGCATTACTTCGGTACCGAGGATGAGGACAGCAGCATTGCACCCCAGGTTGACCTTAGCCAGCAGCAGTACATCTTCCAGCAGTGTGAGGCTCCTATGGAAGGTTTCCAGCTTTGAGGCAATACACTGCTTTCATGTTCCTGTGTCAGACCAGGCTACCTAGTCACGTCCTCTTGTGGAGCCCAAGTCCTCATGGAGCTGACTTCTCAAATGTTTTCCATAATACTGTTTGCGCTCATTTGCTTGCCTCGCGCACCTGCTCTCTCACACACATCTGGAAAACCTCTGGCTCTCTGTGGTGGAATATTCTTCTAAGGAAAGAGTAACCAGGACGGCCCACTCTAAAGGAAAATCCCTAGGCTTTGGAGATCTGCACTTCTATATTATAAGAGTCATGGAAATATACACATATTCGTGTGGCTTTCTTATTTCGTGGCAGAAAAAAAGAGGAGGCCTCCTCATTCCCTTTTAAGTGGGAAAAAATACTGACATTAAAATGATAAGACTAAAACTTTATCTTGAATTTCACACAATTACTTGCAACAAGGGAGATGTTTAGACCTGTTGTGTACTTCAGAGTACTTCTCATGCGTTCTTCCACAGCGAACCCTGGTGGCTTTTTCTAGCCAAATTTGCATTAATTCTTTCTGAGATTGGATGGTTTTCTTTCCTCTATTGGCGCCATTCTTCACAGATATTAAAGTTAAACCATCTGCTCTCTCACCTTCAGCCTTCAGTGAATATGCTTTCTAGTTGTCAGGAATGCTGAAGAATTAACACTGATTCTCTCATGTGATACTGGTTTGAAGATTTCCTTAGAGCAGAAAGCAGAGGGGCACATATTAATCTGTATGGCTATTGCTTCTCTTTGGTCTTCTGTGTCTTAGGATTTGAAAGTGGTTCAGTTCTAATGCTGGTTGAAGATTTAGAATCCTTAGTAATTTAAACTATATTCTGTAATTCAATAACAAAATTAAAAAAAACACCCTCCAATTTTCCCAACTTCACCAGTGTGATTAGAGGCTGTTTCTGCATTTAAACAGATGTTTCAGGCTTTGTGGTCCTGATAAGGTCCTCATTAAATTGTAAAGTTCACCCTAGGTGCTTTTCCCCTCTGTGACTGGCAGAGAACACGTACTTTTAAAGGTTACTTCGGGACTTTTTTTTTCCTTAATTGGGTGCAGCTTGATTCTAATGTATTCATGCTGCATATATGAATATATGTTCCTTTAATGTAGCATCCTTATCTTGAACAAATAACTATCTTCTCAACATGACCTATTTAATCCAAATAAGGGCAGTGATCATTTTCTTATAACCTCATTATTCCCTCCCTAATAATTTCATCTCCTGCTAGTTAGTGTAGCCCAGTCAAGTTGCCTGTAAAATAAAAAGTTTCTACCTTCTGGCTCATTTAATGATGACTGCAATCTGTACCTGCAAAAGGCGCTTCCAGTACTGTCTTCAGTGATCTACATTTGAGCTTGGGCTGGAACGAAAAAATAGGTTTAATTGCCAAGAGAACTGCAACTGAACATACGACTTCTTGGTGCTAGTTGGCCATCTTGACTCAATGTTGGGACACACTATCAGAGAAGATTTATATTTGTTAATGTGCTATTCAAAATGAATTCTGAAGGAAAAGTTGCTCATTTCTGTTTTAGAGAATATCCTTTTAATCCTCTTTAATGTTGTCCTCTTCTAGAATTCATTTTAACCCATAGTGTAAGTATTTGGAAGTTCCCCTGACAAGCTATTTATACATCTCTGGTAAATCCTGCTGATCGTTAGGGATGTTCAGAGCTTTCGTACCTCAACATGTTGTCATTTAAGCAGTCAACTTATGTGACCTGATTTAGATTTTTTAAAAATCCACTTCATTTAAAGTAGAAAGGTAACAAAAACAATGGACATTTCAGCCAAGCCTGTGACACTGTCTTCACATCTAGCTTGTAGTTGTGTCTGTGCTCTGGATGGATACCGTCTGATGTTTGTCTGTCATTGATGGAGCAGCCACTGCAAAACTAGTCAACTCTCATTTATAACTGTTAATTTTTCTAGTGCTGCTTTGGGCTGAAAGGACATTTTAATTTACTGCACTTGACCTGTAAAAGACTTTGATTCTTTGTAATTTTAGGGACAAGTTAGGTGGTTAATTTAAAGGAAAACTTTCAGTGTTGCCTTGACATCACATTAAAATATAACTTCTTTCAGAAGGATAATAGAAGCACTGATTCATAGTAAAAATCTTGGTTTTAGCTTTGACTTTTTTTGTGTGTGGCTGAGTTTTTAAATATTGTAAATTACTGGTAACATCATTTCTGTAGGATGTTTAAATTATGTACCTTCTCTTGAGTAATTTTAATAGTTTTTTAGTTCATGTTGATAAACCAATTTGAATGGATAGTATATATAAAGCACACTAAGTTGTTTCTCCAAGTTAGAATAGCATACGTTGGAAACTTGCTAGCAATTGCAGGTGTCTCAATGAATGAATTAAAACAAAGTCCACCCAACTAATGTGGTTTATTTTCTATTTAAAAGAGGAATGTGTCTTGCACCTGTCCTAGAAGTTCATGAGCCGTGATATATGAGCTAAATTTTTTTAGAATAAAATAATATTTTTAAATATAAAAATTGGAATTGACTAAAAGTTAAATCTGAGCATAACTAGGAGAACCGAGAAAGCAGCCTGTTTTGTTTTGTTTTTGTAATAGAAACGACATTTCAGGAGGTGATTAAGACGTATGTATTTTTAGTTCTCCGCCTGACAGATTCTGTTAATTTACTTTCCATATATTAGATATACCCTATCACTAAGATATTACTCATTACAAAAGCATGTTAATTTCAACACAGGAAAACTCTTATATACTGATAAGGGAGAAAGTGGCTTGATTGCCTCTCCCCATTTTCCTTTTCTCCTCCAAACTTTCAAAGTGTAGTCTTTGTAATAAGAACTTCGGTTGGGGGGAAAAAATTATTGAGAAGATCTGGGAGTTAAAGGGACCTTATAGCTGAAAGGACCAGAAAGTAGATATGATTAGTTTGGGAAATACTGGGAAAGTTAAAGATGATTAATATGAAGAGTAGTGAGATTTAGAAAATGGAGTTTTCCATCAAACACATTAACCCATATTCTTGTCTTTGTATAGTTACTTTTGTCAGTTGTACTGATTTTTAAAACTATATTACCCTAAGATTGTTTCTTCCATCTGCCATATAAAACTGGGTTATTTTCATCATCACAGACATAAAAATTGATAATTATCCCACATAAATCTGAATTATTCCAGATTGATGCTGATTTTGTGTAGGAAAAGAGCTTATTTTATAAACCAAACTTCCCCATCTAGATCTTACCTTGCACATGGCTACCCCACCACCGGCAACTTTGAATTTACTTATCTGGTGTTGAATAAATGTTTTAGTTATTTCATCCCCAATTTGGGGTTGCATTATGAAGGTATACCTCAGGTTGAAGGATTTTTCTTTCTTGCTGATTAGTTTTGTGAACATTTTTGTATTAATAAGGCATAGCTGGGGCTTTCCATACTGGGTGAAGCAAAACAGATTTACAGTTGTGAGTACACGAAAGTTTTTTGTATAATCTGTTACTGTATTTTCCATATGAACAACTTTTGCCCCATCCTGTGAAGGATTAGAAAATAGTGATGTCTAAGGATGATGTTCAGTAAAGAAAAGAGTTCTACTTTTAGGAAGGGGCATTGTTTGTTTTCCATATTTATAAGATATTAGAGGCCCAATGCATGAAATTCATGCAAGGAGCTCGGTCCTCGCTGCCCGGGAAGGTCGTCCAGACTATTGTTTTGCTGTTTGGTCTAATTAGTATATTATCTATTATATAGGATATGCTACCTCCTACATTCTAAACTTTGCTCATTTGTAGTAATAGGTATAAACCTACACATGGGAAACTCAAAGGCATTTTTTTTAAAAAATATATTTTATTGATTTTATACAGAGAGGAAGGGAGAGAGATAGAGAGTCAGAAACATCGATGAGAGAGAGTCATCGATCAGCTGCCTCTTGCACACCCCCTACTGGGGATATGCCCACAACCAGGGTACATGCCCTTGACCGGAATCGAACCCGGGACCTTTCAGTCCCCAAGCTGACGCTCTATCCATTGAGCCAAACCGATCCCGGCAAGGGAAACTCAAAGGCATTTTATTATGAGGTGAGCGGAGTGTGTGTGTGTGTGTGTATGGAAATATTTGGGCTGTGTTTTCTTATCAAAGATTATATATAGCCTAGCTGGCTTGGCTCAGTGGTTGAGCGTCAACCTAAGAACCAGGAAGTCATAATTCAGTTCCTGGTTAGTGCATATGTATGGGTTGCAAGCTTGATCCCTGGTGTGGGACATACAGGAGGAAGCCAATCAATGATGCTCTCTCATTGATGTTTCTATTTCTCCCTCTCTGAAATCAATTTTAAAAATACTTAGAAAAGGTATATATAAAAGTAATTGAATGCCAGATGTGGCACTAACTAGTTCAGTAAATCTAGTCCAACATAGGGAATATTCTGTGTTTTAATGCCAGAAAAGGATGGGCCATAACTAGGTACCAGGGCATCAGAATAATAATGTGATAAAACCAAATAATATTAAATGCTAATTTTAACATCAAATTGCTATTGGGCAAAAATGTATCTGGATATTTGGAGTAAGAAGAACATTACAGGTAGCTGAAGTTCTATCCTTTCTCAACTAAGGAGAGATGAGTCCCCATGTGTTTTCCCATGGGTCAAATAAAGATTACTATTTCAGCTTCTGTTGTTTCCCAAGTGCTTGGCTAAGGGTTTCACTTTTCTCTTTTAATCCTCCAACTGCTCTTGAATGTGGGTAATTGTCACTCTGTTATAGATGACAAAATCAAGACTTAGGAGAATTTACTTTGCCCAAGGTCACAACCATTAGATGCTGTTTGTCCAAAGATGGGGAAGAGTCTTGCAGGCTTTATGTCCAAGGAAGCAGTCATGGAGGTGTTCTGAGCCAGGAACTTCCAGAATCAGACATGTCAGCCACAGCTGGGCCAGCTTTTATTTTTGTTGGGCCATTCTGAATCTTCCTCAGCAGCAGCATTCCTAGAAGTGACTGCATCAGGTATAAGTTATTTTAAGGTTATGTATTCTGGTGTGTAGATCCTCAGCCCAAACTTTCCCCTTCTGTGGTGCTAAAATTGTGTATAACCCGACCAATAAAACAAATTTAAAAATAATATGCAAATGATTTTAAACTTAGTAGCATAGTGGCTAAACTCAGAAGCATGTTTCCATTCAACAACTCAAATGTAGAAGGTATTAACACAGAACATAAGGTTTTGAAATGAAGAATCCTGCCTTAGAAAGCAGTGCCCTCCGTGGATATAAATATAACACAGCTAACTTCCTACGGGAGTATCCTCCCAAGGAATGTAAAAAAGATCACGTTTTAATGTATGCTGTTACGTTCTGCTTACCTCGTCATTTTGACACTCTTAGGTCCTTTTTCAAAGTGTTCTTACACTTTGGAATGGTTCTAATGATTCTTTGTACTTGAATATTGTATGTCAGGCCATGGGTGAGCGCCTTGCACCTAGTAGACTTTAATAAACACTAAGTGATTGAAGGAATATGCATCTATATGGTATTGGTAAAGGGCATTTGGTTACCAAAAAGTTAAAAGGAATTCATTTATGCTGTTTGAAATCAAGATTAATAACTCGTAAAGCTATTGTCTTAAAATGTATTTTATACGTAGTATAAATGTACTTTCAGGAGACAATTTGATCTGAAGTTTACAAAAGTAAATGTATCACAGGTTTGTTATATAAAAACAACCTATGCCTTCTGAGAGAAGTTAATGGGTATATTTTACAGGATAGTTAATTACAAAATCAACCCCGTGTGTTTATGTATACTAAAAATAGCTCACCTGTCTCTTCTGGCAGTCTAGGGTTAAAACTTTTGACTAATTATATCCAATTGATGTGGAAACTGATGGTTGCCCTACACTAGTAAATAGGGATTTTTTTTTATTACATATTAAATGTACTGCTGCATGAGAACATTATCCATTCCTCCAATTTAAGTGACAGATCAGTAGAAACTCAAAAAAGGGTATATTTCTTGATCCCATGATTGCTTCTCTATTATTTTTGAGAGACTCCACTGGCCAGTTGTTTTGTTTTTCTTTTTCTGAAAACAAAACAAATTCATAAAGCAAAATATAGCTTTAACTCCTGCAGACTACCCTGTCATCTATAGTACAAAATGGTTGGGTTTACAAATTTATTGTAATCAGCTTAGATGGTTGCCCTTATTTCATTTGCAATTTTGAAAGAGCCTTGTTTTAGAAAAAAAATAAGTGGTCATTTTTGTGATGTTGAATGTTTTTGCAAGGAATAAAATTACTCTTTAAATTCCTTTTTCTTTCCCACTTACACTGAGGAAGCCAGAGGAGTCCACCGGGTGGGTGTCCACATGTGGTTCACTTCCTTACCAAAACCACTTGGACCCAGCATTATTTAGAGTGATGGGGAGGGAGAAAATAGAAACTCAGAAGACCATAGTGGTGGGAACAGAATAGAACGAGAGAGATCTTGGCAGGTGTAAAATACCATGTGAAGAGTGCAGAACTTTCCAAGATTAAATTATGATTATGAGGAGAGCACTCTTGAGAAGTCAGCAGTGGCAGGTTTTCTGGGGGCAGTCCTGGTTTTTAGGTCAATTAACACCTGTTAATTATTTTAGTGTCTCCTTTCACTTTAAAAAGTCTCAGTTTAGATAAGTTATATGGCCAGCCCATATTTAAATCCAAGTAGATTTTCATATGTTTAAATTGCTGGTGGTCAAAAGCAACAGTAAGTACATAGTCCTATTCAGCTTGATTCTTGAGTATTGAATTTGGTAATCAGAATTACCATAAAACAAGTCAGTTAAGACGACCTTTAATATAGGAAATCATTCCCAGGCCATGTTTAGGTCTGACACACACATATTAAAAAAAAAAAAAAAGTTTTTAATTAAAACAACTAAAACCTCACAAACCTGCCCATTTGGTGTTGCTCAACAGTTGAGCATCAACCCGGTAACCAAGAAGTCACTGGTTTGATTCCCAGTCAGACCACATGTCAGGGTTACAGGCTCAATCCCTAGTAAGGGGCATGCAAGAGGCAATCCATCTATATTTCTATCTCTATTTCTCTCCTTTTTCTAAAAAAAGCAATAGAAACATATTCAAAAAAACAAAACAGCCCTAGCTGGTTTGGCTCAGTGGATAGAGCGTCAACCTGCATACTAAAGGGTTCTGGGTTCAATTCTGGTCAAGGGCACATGCCCAGGTTGTGGGCTTGATCTCCATTAGGGGGCATGCAGGCAGCAACAAACTGATTCTCATCATGGATGTTTCCATCACTCCCTCCTCTGAGATCAATAAAAATATATTTACCCTATAAAATAAAGAGGTAATATACAAGATGGCTGCCCTTGCACAAGATGGCCGCCCACATGTGGTCACAAGATGACTGGCAGGGGAGGGCAGTTGGGGGTGATCGGGCTGTCGGGAGTGGTTATGAGGTGATCAGGCTGGCAGGCAAGCAAGCAGTTGGAACCAGCAATCTTGGATTGTGAGAAGGATCCCAGATTGGAGAGGGTGCAGGCTGGGTTGACCCTTCCAAGCCCAGTGCACAAATTTTGTGTACCGGGTCTCTAAATAAATAAATAAATAAAACAAAAACATATGCTCTGACCTGGTAGCTTAGTTGGTTCGGGTGTTTTCCCCATATGCCAAGGTTGGGGATTTAATCCCTGGGTAGAATTCTAGAATCAGCCAATGAATGTATAAATAAGTGAAACAATAAATTGATGTTTCTCTTTCCCTCCTCCTCCTTCTGAAGTCAATAAATTAAGTGTCCTGGCTGGTGTGGCTCGGTTGAGTGTAGTCCTGTGCACTGAAAGGTCACCGGTTTGATTCCCAGTCAGGGCACATACCTAGGTTGTGTGTTCCATCCCTGGTCAAGGAGGCAGCCGATCGATATGTCTCTCTCACATCAATGTTTCTCTCATCTCTCTCCCTTCACTCTCTGAAAACCAATGGGAAAATATCTTTGGCTGAGTATTAACAAAAATAAAAATTTTTAAATTTTTTATGGGAAATTTAAAGAAAACAACTTGATTTCTACAGGAAGGGAAACTTCCAAAGCACTTATTTGGTGGCAATTAAAGGCTGCAAATATAGAAATTGCTAGGTTCCTATTCATTTTACCCTGCTGATGCTCCTGAGCCCCCAAGGAAGTAAACTATGAAATCCTTAGTCTTAATTCACAAGGACTACAATATTATGACTACATGTTAGGATTAGAACAGGACTAGTGAATAATGGTTTAACTAGTTATAGTCATAGCTTTATTTTTCCTTTTTTTAAATTATGGTATTCTGTGTGTACATATCTTACCATTACCTCCCCCAACCCCACTCCCATACATGCCCTCACCCCCCAATGATTTGTATCTGTTGGTTATGCTTATATGCATGCATACAAGTCCTTCGGTTGATCTCTTATCTCTTCCACCTCTCCCTAACTTTCCTGCTGTAATTTGACAATCTGTTTGATGCTTTACTGCCTCTGTATCTATCTTTTTGTTCATCAGTTTATAATGTTGTTTATTATCCACAAATGAGTGAGATCATGTGGTATTTTTTCTTTCATTGACTGGCTTATTTCACTTAGCATAATGTTCTCTAATTCCATCCAGGTTGCTGCAAATTGTAAGAATTCCTTCTTTTTTATGGCAGCATAATATTCCATTATTTAGATGTACCATAGTTTTCTGATCCAGTCATCTGCTCATGGGCACGTAGGCTGTTTCCAAATTTTAACTATTGTAAATTGTGCTGCTATGATATAGTCATAGCTTTAATTTCTTTTACATGAATTCCTGATGCTATTTGTAGACACACACACACACACACACACACAAAAAATCCAAAATCAAGAAATGGATTTTAATACTGGAAAAAAAATTTTTTTTTCAGTCAGATTCTGTAAAAATTATTTTTCTGGATATTCCTATCAACATATTCTCATGTGCCCCCTTTCCCTCATGCTCATATTTCTAGTGGGCTAACTACACTCCAGCACTAATACCCCAACCTAGTCCTCATGTCATGTGTTTACCTTGTCTAATTTCCTCTTTCTTTACTCGCCCAGCACATAGAAAACAATTATTGGAAAAACAGATTTGCTTAAATTCTTTGGAACAAAGCCTACACCTTGTTTCCTGAAGTACTTTTAAATTTATTTTTAATGAATTAATTACAATGGAAATAATTTTAATTGATGCAGAATTTAAAATGGCTCTAGTTTCCCAGCAACAATCACACTGATCTAGGCTAATGGGAGGAGGATAGGAGAAAGAGGAGGCAGAGTTTAATCAGAATTGAACTTTAAGATACATTACAGTGAAAACGTGTTGTCTTTTAAAAATGTTTCAGAAGGGAGGTCCATGGTAGTTAAGAAGAACCATAATGTATATAAATGGAAGTTCCAAACCATTTTAAAGATGTTTATCTAGAAGAAGAAAAAGATGCTTATCTTATTGACTTGGACTACCTAAGACTAAAGCATTTGTGCAATTCCTGTATAATTTCTAAACAAAAGTATTAGGGTCTTAAAGTGATGAGGTTTTTACTATAGTTGGTTATTATAGGTGATGATTATTATAGATGATATAATTGTGCTGTTGTACCAATTATCCTATATAATCCTATATAATAAAAGGCTAATATGCAAATTGTCCCATGGGCTAGAGTTCTACTGACTGGAAGTTAGATGTGTGCTGACCATCAGGGGGCGGCACAGAACATGGTTGGTGTTGGCAATGCGGTGCTGATGGCCGTGGTAGTGGAAGTGCTGCCAGCCAGATGGGCCCAGAGGAGAGAGGGACCAAGGCAGGATGGTGGGGCAGGTAAGCAGGTGGCACCAGACCAGTGCAAAGGCAGGCCCCGGCCGGTGGTAGTAGCAGGCAGTGGGGGGAGGCTGGCAGCTGGCAGCTGCTAGAGACACTACCCATGCACAAATTTTGTGTACTGAGCCTCTAGTCTCTTATAAGATTGGAAAGCCTTTGTTTTAAGATATTTTAATTCTCAATAGAAAACATGAAGGATATTTGCCTCCTGGGCTCTGGGGAAAACCATTTAAGACAGAATACTTGCTGACTCCCTCAGGCACTCATTATTGAACAATTCAAGGACTGGAGAATTTACCAGATTGGTTTTATTTTTGTAAAACCTATTTTTTGTTTAAAGAGTGTAATTACATCTAAAACACATCTATTGTTCAGGTAATACTTTCACGACCATTGCTCATTTCTTAAAACTGGGGTAAACACTCTAAAGTCTAATTAGAAGTAACCATACACATTTCTTACCCCATCCCACTAACTTCTTTGTCCCTTTTCTGTCTCAAGCACCTATGCAGATCTGAACTTCCTTAATTTTCTTTGGAAGCTTAAACTACTGTATAAGGAAGCGCTTAAATGTTTGCTCATATACCCCAGCAATACCAGATCATGCTCTCTGAGCACTGACGTTTAAAGGCCCCTAACATAATTCTTTTATCCTTTTCTAAATATTTAGGGGAAACTTCATTATTTTTTATTGATTTTAGAGAAAGAGGGATGGGGAGGAGGAAAGAGACAGACATCAATTTGTTGTTCCACTTACATTGGTTGATTATTATTTTTTAAAAATATTTTTATTGACTTCAGAGAGGAAGGGCGAAACATCCATGAGAGAGAATCATTCATTGATTGGCTGATCACCCTCTCCCCCTCCCCCCAGCACCCGTTACTGGGTATTGAGCCCACAACCCGCCCTGACAGGAGTCCAACCATGACCTCCTAGTTCATAGGTCCACGCTCAACCACTGAAACACACAGGCCAGGGGTTAATTCCTGTTACATGCTCAGACCTGGGCCGACCTGTCACCTTGGTGTATAGGGATGACGCTCTAACTGACTGAGCAATCTGGCCATAGCTTTAAGGAAAAACTTTAAAACCAGCAGCAGGAGTCTGGAGGTGGAAAGGGCCGTAGTTCCAAGAAGAAGTCCAGAAGGCATAGCGGGCGCAAAGAAACCTACTCAATGTCTATCTACAAGGTGCTAAAGCAGGTGCTCCCTGACATCGGCATCTCTTCCAAGGCAATGAGCACCATGCACTCACCAGTGAATGACGTGTTTGAGCGGCTGGCCCAGTACTCAGGCCGAACCACACTGAGGACCCGGGAAGTCCAGCCGGCAGTGCGCCTGCTGCTGCCTGGGGAGCTGGCCGAGCACGCCTGTCCCAGGGCACCAATCTGTCACCAAGTACACCAGCTCCGAGTGACCTGGGGCCTAAGCTAAATAAAGGGTGAACTGCTAAAAACAAAACAAAACAAAACAACAACCAACCAACCAACCAAAAAACCCCCAAACAAAAGAAAACCAAAGACGCCTCGCCCCCTGGCCTATTTGCAGCCCTGCTGTACGGGAGCCTCAGCTACATTTCCCAAACGCGCACTGTCCGAGCAGCTCACGTCCCAACTGTGGGCTTCACCTGCGGCTAAAGGCATCGGGAAATGCAGTCCTTTCTTGTGACACGGTTTATAAAAAGAAACAAATTTTTCTTGTCATAGTCACCGCTTCCCGCTGAAGCCGGTCAGATCTGGAACGACCCTGTCTCCTGGGTTAAGAAGACCTTGAATATTTCGTGCCGAAGGCGGGGGAAAAAAGAGCGGAAGAACCCGCCCCTTCCTTTTTTTTTTTTTGCGCAGGCGCACGAGGGCTTCTCCCATTGGTCACCTGAACTCGGAAGTAGGAAGTGGCTCCCCCCGCGCATGCGCTCAGCGTCCGGCCGGCTGCTTTTGCGATTGACGCGGCGATGAGGACCCGTTTGTACCGGCAGAATGCAGTCGGCAGGCTGGGCCTCAAATAACGGCGATTACGCAGGTTTCCTCTTTGGCTTCTGAAATCTTCTGCTTAAAGCGGTGACGCGTTCATGCTAAAGTATTATACTTAAACTCTGCCAGACTGGTAGGGTTGCTCCATGTTCTCAAACCTGTCCAACTCGGGGAGGGGCCGTGAGAAAGTTTCTATAGATTTCCCTGCGCCAGGCCCTGCCCTGCCCCGCCTGTGTACGTTCACAGAGTACCCAACATTGATACCTTACTTGCTGACAGCACATGGGACTTTTTAATAATATTTCTCAAGTATTTTTTAAAAAAATATATTTTATTGATTTTTTTTACAGAGAGGAAGGGAGAGAGATAAAGAGCTAGAAATGTCCATGAGAGAGAAACATCGACCAGCCGCCTCCTGCACACCCCCCACCAGGGATGTGCCCTCAACCAAGGTACATGCCCTTGACTGGAATCGAACCCGGGACCTTTCAGTCCACAGACCGACGCTCTACCACTGAGCCAAACCGGTTTTGGCATATTTCTCAAGTATTTGTTTACAGAAGAAAGTGAGGAAAAACATAAGTGGTCTAAGCCATGTGTATATGGCAATTTAAAGATGATCCAGCCGAAACTGGTTTGGCTCAGTGGTAGAGGGTCGGCCTGTGAACTGAAGGGTCCCAGGTTCGATTACGGTCAAGGGCATGTACGTTGGTTGCGGGCACATCCCTGGTGGGGGGTGTGCAAGAGGCAGCTGGTTGATGATTCTCTCTCATTGACGTTTGATTCTCTCTCTCTCCCTCTCTGTAAAAAATAAATAAAATATATTTAAAAAATAATAAAGATGACCCAGAAATTATCACTAAAGACCGTTTATTTTTAAGTCTAATAATCTAATGTTTTAATCTTCATTTTTGCTGGGCAGAAAATCAAAATACTGGGCTGCCTGGTTCAGGACCGGACGCTGAGCCAACTTAGTGACTTGGAGCTTCAAAGCCATGGCTACAAAGGAATCAGATGCCAAAGCAGATTCAGCCCTCACCTCATCAGCCGATCAGAGCAAACAAGTGTATAAAAAACCAAACTATGCTCTCAGATGCACTCTTGTGGGACATGTGGAAGCAGTATCATCAGTTAAGTTTAGTCCTGATGGAGAGTGGCTAGCAAGTTCTTCTGCTGACAAAGTAATTATAATTTGGGGAGCCTATGATGGAAAAAAAGAGAAAATACTTCATGGTCACAGTCTGGAAATATCAGATGTTGACTGGTCATCAGATTCCAGTCGTCTTGTTTCTGCCTCAGATGATAAAACTCTAAAGATTTGGGATGTACGATCAGGAAAATGCTTGAAAACGCTGGAGGGGCACAGTAATTATGTGTTTTGCTGTAAATTCAATCCATCATCCAACCTCATAATTTCAGGATCTTTTGATGAGAGTGTGAAAATATGGGAGGTGAAAACAGGCAAGTGCCTCAAGACTTTGTCTGCTCATTCTGACCCGGTTTCTGCTGTTGATTTTAGTTGTAATGGGTCCTTGATAGCGTCAGGTAGTTATGATGGCATCTGTAGAATCTGGGATGCTGCATCAGGTCAGTGTTTAAAAACACTTGTTGATGATGATAACCCTCCTGTCTCTTTTGTAAAATTTTCTCCAAATGGTAAATACATTCTCGTTGCAACTTTGGATAATACTCTTAAACTATGGGATTATAGCAGAGGCAGATGCCTGAAGACATACACTGGTCATAAAAATGAGAAATACTGCATATTTGCCAATTTTTCAGTTACTGGTGGGAAGTGGATTGTGTCTGGTTCAGAGGATAACCTAGTTTACATTTGGAACCTTCAGACTAAAGAGATTGTACAGAAATTACAAGGTCATACTGATATTGTAATCTCAGTAGCTTGTCATCCTACAGAAAATATCATTGCATCAGCAGCATTAGGAAATGACAAAACAATTAAACTGTGGATAAGTAACTACTAAACCCTTTAGAAATCGAGTAGTAAAGCCAAGTTGGCAAAAAGTTGTATATTTTAAAAGATGTTTTCTCTTAATTTTGGCATGGTTTTGTATTTCTTCTTAACATTGTCTTGAATTATATAAGATTATAACCTAAATTTTCAAAGCAAGACAGTTGGAAAAGCAAGTCTAGAATCCAGGGCTTCTGACTTTTAATCTTGAAGTTTGTTATTAATCTCTTATGTCTGTCCTTGAATAGATTTCCATTCTATTCTTTTCAATGACTATTCTAAAGGATTGGTATATTTGAGGAATATTTAGAAGATTCACAAGACAGAATGATTAATTAAATGAGGAGAGTAAAGGAGTTTGGAATAACTCCTAGGTTTTTGGTTTGGGAGATCAGATGAATAAGAGCATAAACCTTCGATGGTGTTGGACTGGAGATGTGTGTCAAGCACCACTCACACTAAGTGATAGCCTACTAAATGGGACATGAAGTAGTTTATGGAATCAAGACTTAATTGGGAAAAATAAGTCATGGTTTGTTCTGAGAGTCTAAAACATTATAAATGGATCCCTAGATGGCATTTTACTGAAGGATCCCTAGATGGCTTTTCAGGTTGTGCCCTCCTCATTTTCAAACAAGCTAAATGTTGGAGTGGTGAGGCCGCTCTTTTACTATGTGACTGACTCACTACTTCCTATTCATGCTTCCAACTTAGTTCAGAAATCAGTACTTTGTGGAGCCATCACTGCTTGCCTGGCTCCAACCATAGTTGGCAGCTGAGCTAGGTTTTATTGCTATTACTTTTTCTTTCTTTTTTTTTTTTTTTAAAGAAAGCATTTTTATTATTATTTTAAAAAATATATTTGATTTCAGAGAGGAAGGGATGAGAGATAGAAACATCAATAAGAGAATTATTGATCAGCTGCCTCCTGCACGCCCCCTACTGGGGATTGAGCAACTAAGGCATGTGCCCTTGACCGGAATTAAACCCAGGACCCTTCAATTCAAAGGCTAATGCTTTATCCACTGAGCTAAACCAGCAAGGGCTATTGCTGTTTCTCTCATTTATGTTATTAAAGTTCAGATATATCACTTATCAATTTGAATTATAATGATTTCATAGGCCATGTTTCCAGTATATTATGTGTTCTGTGGGACAAATATGTTATACTATTGATCTTTGCATTCTCAGTTTTTGTATATAGAAGGAACTCAAGTAATGTTTGATGAATGACAATGAATTATATCACCAGCACTTAATTTATTCCTTACCTATTTTCACTAACGTTTTGGGATCAATTCCCCATACTATTATTTTTGTTTTATCTGAGTATAATCTCACATTTTAACTTTATACAAAGAAGGCTTATATAAAATATAAAATGGAAAATGGTTTCTGCCCACTACCTATAGAGACAGGGTAAACATGAAAAAAAAAAATCTAGAAATTAAGCAAAAGATAGTACAACAGTAATTTAATTGAAAGTATCAAGAGCAAAATTGTCTTCTTTTGTGTTGTACAATATTTTATACTAGTGCTCAGTAAATCTGAATTGTTTGACAAGTTCTGAAGAACATAAGATATTAAAAGTTACTAGTAGGGTATGACTGCTGAGAGGTTAGTATGTGAGGGTACTAGAAGTGAGATTAGATAGGGGCAGGTCTGAAATTCAGGCCAAGAAATTTGTATTTAATCCAGAAAGAGGTAGTCACTATAAGTTACTGAACAGAAAAATGACACAAAATGAGAAAAGATTGTGTGTATTCTGGTTGCATATGTGAGCTTTGGTTTAAGGAAACATTTTTTATTACAATAACTCTCCAAGATACAACACTTTAAAATGCTATTTTAGAAATTAAAAATGGTATTGTTCTATGAAGAAAGATTGTTTATTTTTAAATGAAGTACATTAAAATTTACCCATATTTAGAATATTGGTTTAAGTAAGATGTAACATAAATGTTCCAAAATAACTAATCTAAAATGTGTAAGAAACAGTGCTTTTTGATAGTAAATTTTCAAGTGATAAAAATAAAATAATTTGGTATCTAAAAAGAAGTTATGGTCAAATTACTCTAAATAAAATTTATAGACAAACATCATTAACATCAGATAGTTACAAAGCTCTAGGTAAACTGATGTATTACATTTTATTAAGCCAAGTTCCCGAACAGCTGCATTTTAATCTGCTATAAACCTCTTATGAGACCAAACAGACTGAGATGGCTGTGAGGACTTGTCATCCACTATTATTTGAGAGAGAATAAATGACTATTTAAAATAGAACCATCATCTATACTTAAATATGAGAGAGCTTAGCATCCCAGTCAAAGTGAGATATATACCAGGTGCAAATGCAACCTAGTAAAAAAATGCATATTTGTGCCATAACCGGTTTGGCTCGGTGGATAGAGCGTTGGCATTCGGACTGAAGGGTCCCAGGTTCGATTCTGGTCAAGGGCATGTACCTTGGTTGCAAGCATGTCCCCAGTAGGGGGTGTGCAGGAGGCAGCTGATAGATGTCTCTCTCTCACTGATGTTTGTAACTCTCCCTCTCCTTTCCTCTGTAAAAAATCAATAAAATATATTAAAAAAAGAAAAAAAAGAAAAGAAAATGCATTTGACAGACTCATAATTGTAAAGGCAACAGGACAAGGACCACTTAGGAATTCTAAGCCATGGAGCAGAAGAGGTGACTGCTGGTCCCAAGCAATTCAATGATGCTGGGATTTCAAAATCCTCAGAAACTTGCGGTAAGATCATTATCATCACCTTGCTAGGACATTTTCAAGGACTGTGCTCCTAAAGCCTCTGCCGGCACAGCCCAGGATGGCAAATCAGTCTGTCTGCTCTCCGGGGCTTTGAGAAGAGCCACGCATGTGAGGGGGTTAGCTCTCTGAGATGCACTTGGGCAGTGTGCTCCGCTGGCCTTCCTTCTCTCTCCAGAAAGGAAGACAAGTGAGAGAGAGATACAGAAAAAAGGCCATTTTGGCTTCGGTCACTTTGGTAATGGGAAGTAAAGATACAGAACCTGACTCTAAAGAGTTAATATTTAAGTCAAAATAAGTTGTCTCATTTCTTTCATTTAACCAAAAGAGTTGAGAGGATGCATTTAACCTGGATCAAATCCATGAAATTAGACAAGTCATTTAAGAAAATTTATTTGTACCTCTATAGCAGAAATAGGGAAATGGTGTGTTTGTACAAACCATAACTTTTATGAAATGGATCCTCATACCACATTCGTTTAAGACAAGCTTGTTGCTGACACATTATTGGATTTTCAAAATCCAGCCAACATGAGTACCTCTGTTACTCTGTTTTGGCCTTCATGGCTGCTTCCTCTCTCAGACGAGCTTTCTTTTCTAAGTTCAGGCTTGTTAAAGACTCGTGTCTTTTGACAGCCTAAAATGAAACAAATTTGAACAAGAAATTATTTATGCCCGTTTGTGAATGATGTTACTGATAGCAGCAGATTAGCGACAACAGTACAAGAATGGAACGGTCTGGTGCGTGCACACTGCACACACCACTCCTTTCCATGTGACTTCTGCTTCCTCTACGGCTTCACAGTCCATCAGTCCATCCATTCAAGCACTTATCTTCCTTTCTGGCCTCATTTTTTAAATCTTCTTGTCTCCTCTAATAATTTACTAGAGGCCAGGTGTATGAAAGTTTGTGCATTGGAGTGGGTGGGGGTGTCCCTCAGTCTGGCCTGCCCCCTCTCAGAGTCTGGGAGCCCCCCGCTGCTGGGGCTTGTGTATGCAAATTAGCCCACCATATTTGTTGGGTTAATTTGCATACACAATCCTGATTGGCTGGTGGGCATCGTGAAGGTATAGTCAATTTGCATCTTTCTCTTTTATTAGTATAGATTAGCTATGTGACTTTGGGGAAATTATTTAACACCTTTTAAGCTTCATGCTCTTTCATAAAACACAGATAACAATAGAACCTACCTTTTAGGGTTGCTGTGTAAATAAATGAGTTTAACAATGCCTGTTGTATAATAAGCACTCAATAAGTGGGAGCAGTTTTAATATCACCTCAGTTAAGTCTAGGTTCAAATTGTGGTTCTACCATTAAGGAGATGTATGACCTTCCTAAGCTATGTTTTCTCAGCTGGAAATGAGGTCCTAATAAGAGTACTGATCTCGCAGGGTTGTGAGGTTCAAATGAGACAATAGCAAAGTATTCAATTAGTGATTGGTATTAATAATTATCTATGTTAAAATAAAAATTTATGGGCTTGACTTCCTATGTACTGCTTAAGATCTATGGTCTTCAGATATATGACCAGCTTGACTGAGCTTGAAGTAGAGAACTATGATAAGACTGCTCACCAGGATTAAGGCAATTAGAAGGAGGATAAATAAACCAAGGTACTAAGAGTGCTTTATAGACATGCACGGAGCTATCATTAAATCTGCCAGTGTCACATTTCTTGTTTTACATTATTTATGACATCTGGGGATTGATTAATACTTTTTACTTTACAGAAAACTAACTTAGTCCTTCCCCTCGCCAAAGTTAGGATTTGCTATTTATCCCCAGGTATGATCTTAGGTTTGGCCCTACTATGTCTTTGTTTCTTATCATTTCTTGTGTAAAAGCAGCCTCTTTTCCTCAAAAGAATAAATATGGGAGTCAATCCCTGATTTCCTATAGGCCCTTCATGGAAAACAGAGATAGGAAGTCCTCTCTCACCTGCTTGCCCTCAATAACCATTAAGATGCATCCTGCCACTGTCAGGGCGATCATTACATAGCTGATCTTCACCCGGAGCTTGTTCTTCGCAGCATCAAGCATCTCAAACCTAGAATGAAATGAGATTAAGTTAACAAGAGAGAAAGTTAACTTTCTGAAGTTGCCAGCAGGGTATAAAGCTTTGTGTACCACAAATCAGAAGTGCAGTGGAGTCTATAAATATGAAATAGGAGAATAGGGCCTGGAAATCTTGTAGGACTTTAGGGAGGTTGGAGCATTTTCACAACTCACTTTATATATAAAATACAGTGAGATAGCACAAATTTAAAGTAGAAAAGGAAAAGTGTAAAGATAGGAAGTGAAGTCAGGAACAAAAAAGTCGAGGCATATGAATCTATGCTTGCTATGGTGGGCCCTGATTCTGGCTCTCAAAAGTTTCACATTAGTAGTCAGTGCTAAAATTGAAATCAGTAGTGTTTCTCCTTGAGGTTCTCAAGAGGATATTATATGATATAATGATTAGCTGAACATCCTGACAATACTATAACGAATCTCTTAAGTTTCAACACAAAACACAATTCAGAAGAAAACAAACATAGGAGCTAAACTAATGTGCTTTTTATACCCAGATTTCTGTTTATTGATTTCAGAGAAAGGAAGGGAGGAGAGATAGAAACATCAATGATGAGAGAGAATCAGTGATTGGCTGTCTTCTGCACGCCCCCAACTGTGGATCGGGCCTGGAAACCTTGATGTGCCTTGACCGGAAATGGAACCCTGACCTCCAGGTTCATGGGTTGATACTCAACCACTGAGCAACATTGGCTGAGCCCTGTTTACCTTTTAACTAATGTTTTACTTAAATTGAGTGACAGTGAACTTTAGTTCTTTCTCAAGTGCCTCTTCTTACCTGTCCACTGAATACAGATCTAAGTGCCTTAACAGAAAGTTGAGAGTTAGATTATGATTATGTGAAAGCTGAGACCAAACAAGAGAGTGTGAAGAAAAGGCCCTTTCACCTTGGTGATTCTGCAGTTGGGCAGTCGGTTGAAGTTCTATTACCTTAAATATCTGGTAGAGAGTGTGAAGAAAAGGCCCTTTCACCTTGGTGATTCTGCCGTTGGGCAGTCGGTTGAAGTTCTATTACCTTAAATATCTGGTAGAGCTTCAGGGTAGGGCATGTGGAGTTCTATAGTGGTCTCAGAATAAAGAACCAGGCTACACAGTAGGGTATAAATAGTTAAGTGATTATCTCTAGCTGATGGGATTGGAGTGCTAATTCCACCCCCCACACACACTCATGTTTTATTTTGTTTTTCCTTCTCATGTTTTAAATACAAATTACATTTGAAATCAAAGTACAAAGTAAAAATGCTTTGGTCTGCCTGCCAGTTGTGGCTCAGTGGTTGAGTATCAACCTATGAACTAAGAGGTTGCCAATTAAATGCCTAATGGCAGTGTGCAGGAAGCAGTCAATGTTTCTCATATCAATGTTTCTCTCCCTCTTCTTTCCTCTGTCTCCCTTTCCCTTCCTCTCTCTCTAAAGATCAATAAAAAAGGTCTTTTTTAAAAAAATGCTTGGGCCCTTGCTAGTATGGCTCAGTGGTAGAATGTTGACTCATGCACCGAAGGGTGATGGGCTTGATTCCTGGTCAAGGCATGTATCTGGGTTGCTGGTTTATTCCCAGCCACAGTTTGGGCACATGTGGAAGGCAACCAATTGATATGTGTCTCTTACATCGATATTTCTCTCTCTCTCTCTCTCCCTCCCTTCTACTCTCCCCAAAAATCAATAGAAAAAATATCCTTGGGTAAGGACTAACAACAAAAAATGCTTGGAAGGAGTTCCCTGAAAGCATATACACTGGGACCCAGTGAGGTGGTGATGGAGTCTCCAGGCATTGAAGCTGGACCTGCAGGTGGGAGAAGCCAGGGACAACTGCTACGGACACTGACTTGCTTTATTAAGGGCATCTAAGAAGGAAGTCCTACCGTTTGCAACAGCATGGATGGAACTGGAGAGCATTATGCTAAGCGAAATAAGTCAGTCAGAGAAAGATAAATATTATATGATCTCACTCATTTGTGTAATATAATGAACAACATAAACTGCTGAACAAAAACAGATCCAGAGACAGAGAAGCATCAATCAGATGCTCAAACCTCAGAGGGAAGGTAAGGGAGAGTAGGGTTAAGGGAGAGAGATCAACCAAAGACTTGTATGCATGCATATAAGCATAACCAATGGAACAGACACCAGAGGGGTGAGGGCATGATTGGGGGTGATAAGGACATATATGTAATACCTTAATCGATTAAAAAAAAAAAGAGCATCTAAGATCCAACCAACCACCCATGTTAACATTATTTTATGTAAATTGGTATTTCCAACTGATGTGCCATGATTCTCATGAAAAGTGATATAGTTTACATTTGAGGAAACATTTAAAAAGTAAAATGCACATAAATAATGCTGTGATATTACCCTCCATTCTACAGGGACCAATCCCAATGGGCAAGTTAAGCAGTGCCTGTTCAGAACTAAGAGCACAAGGATAAATGGTTGCCTGGGCTCTGAGAAAGGCCTTCTAGAGTGACTCACTAGGTAGTACTAGGGGCTTCAGGGGATCTGAGGGCCAGAGACCTACAGGGAACAAAAGAAGGTGTTCCCTAGCAAAATCCACATAGCACCTATTAGGACCATGGGTATATACCAGCTTGTTTTCTGCTGGGATTTTTAGGAAGAAATTGGGATAAGCAAGAAACTAATGTCATTGATATTTCCCAGGAAAGCACATTGTCACTTGAGCAAAGAAGGACCACGGATTTCCTGCTGAAGTAATGTTCTCCTGTTGAAAAGAATGTGCTGTTTAATTTGATATGCAGAAGCAGGAGGGCTCTTTTTTAAGCTGTTGTAAAGAGAAGGCAAATACTACTTATCTTCCTGGAAAAATATACCCTAAATAAACCCAGATCTTTCACAATCATAATTTGAAACCAGAGACCAGAAGGTGCAGGGATAGTTTTCTTGCTAGAAGGGACTGTCTAGGAGCTTTGTCGCAAGTCCGTCTCTCTGAAGAGTATGATGACCGTTGGCGGAGATGGCATCTATTTCTCAGAATCTCTGTTATCAAGGTGCAACCAATCAGTGAAGTAATGGTTTTCAACTGGGGGTGATTTTGCCCCCAGGGGACATTGGCAATACATATAGACATTTTTATTTATTTATTTTTATTTATTTCAGAGAAGAAGGGAGAGGGAGAGATAGAAACATCAATGATGGGAGAGAATCAGCTACCTCCTACATGACTTCCATTGGACATCGAGCCTACAACCTGGGCATGTGCCCTGACCAGGAATCCAACCTTGATCTCCTGGGTCATCAGTTGACGCTCAACCACTGGGCCATACTGGTTGCGCTGGAGACATTTTTGATTGTCATTAATGAGTGCTACTGACATATACGAGGTGAAGAGGACATGGATGCTGCTTAAATATCCTACAATACACAAGACAGCCCTCAACAACAAAATGTCAGCAGTGTTGAGGTTGAGAAACCCTGGGTTAGAGGAATCTGTACCCATCCATCTACAGACTATGAAAAAGTCCCAAAATCTCAAAGATGGCGGCAGAAGGCACTCTTTCCTGGATCCCAGAGAAAGAATACGTTGCTTTTAAATACTTTTATGCCTATGTCTGAAGACTTGAGTGAATTGTATAAAAATATACTTATTGTCCCTGGTACCTAACTCGTACACCTAGATTAAAACAACCCAAAAAGAGTGATCATCACTGTTTGGTCGCTGAACCTAGGAGAAAAAAATCAACTAAGTTGACTTCAGAGTATGCTCTTCACTAGTCTCTTTGTGACATATCAATGGTAAGAGAGATATCCTAGCTATTTTTATCCCAGGTACTTGATAAAGAGGAAACATTTAGAGAAGTGCTCATCTGAGGGTATTTTTTCCATTGCTTTTTTAGAGTAGAAAGGAGGGAGTGAAGGGTACAGAGAGAGAGAGAGAGAGAGAGAGAGAGAGAGAGAGAGAGAGAGAGAGAGAGATTGATGATCTGTTACCTCCTACACAGGTCCTGATGGGGGCTGTGGGATCAAACCTGCAACCCAGATATATGCCCTTGACGGGGAATCGAACCTGAGCACTCCTTTGGTGCTCTAGCCACTGAGCAATACCACCAAGGCAAGAAGTGAAAACTGTTTTAAAATTGGGTTGGTAGCTTTTAAATAGACTCAAAGGAACTTGCTTTTCCTTTAAAACGGATCAGTGAGAAACAAAGTTGCTTACAACCCCAGCATCAGCACTCACGAGATAGTCTCTGGGATTTCATCTTCCTTTTTGAAGCGACCTGCCCATATCAGGATCTTCCTCTCCCAATCCGTAGGTTTGTGTAATGGCACTCTGTGGCTGTAAGTCTCTATGAGAAAAACAAGATGAGATGCTTACTTATGTATGATTAATACTCTCAGATTTAGAAATAAAAAAAAAATGCCATTTGTGCCATTTTAGATCTGTTGGGTCTGAATTTTTGCCACTTGTGTAGGTTTCATGAATTATTCCGGAGTAGAGATAACCATCAGCAAGGGTGTTAATGACGAGAAGAGGCCAAGGGCTGAACCTCAGGCAAGACCCAAGAAAAGGGACAGGAGAAAATGAAGCGGCCAAAGAGGCAGTTGAGTAAAAGGAGTACAAAACCACAGATTGTAGGAAAAAGACTTTTTAAGAAGGGAAAGTCACTGAAGATAAGGAGCAGAAAATGTTAGGGAATGACAGAACATCAAGGTTAGAAGGGATCTTGGAGATAATCTCATCCAAATGCCACACACTGCCTACAACTCTACTGCAGACAGACCTCCTGGTCACACTCACTCCCACCTCCATACCTTTGTTTATGCTGTCCCCTTTCACTTCATCAGGAGGCAACAGCAAAAGAACAGGAAAGTTAATAGGGGAAATATCCAAAGAACCAAAGGCAAGAAAAGAGATTTAGAAGTATAGAAATAGTGCTGCTGTAATTTTATCTAAAACGTCCAGGATTTGGCGCAGCTGTCACTATAGTAATTGTAGAGCGCCCCCTCGGAAGGCACATGGACATTTCTTTCAATTGTCAGCTGAGCCCGAGGCACTGGCAGACTCTGTATCCCCAGTTACACCCCTCTCCCAAGAAGGCCTGGGGTGTTATTCAGTTTCTGATTTACCTTTGTCCAGGTGTCAGCAAAGACTAGTCCAGATATGTAAATTCAGTAATGCTAGGACCTAGTTAAGAATGCAAATAAGTTCCTTTGATCCTAAGTTTTGGTGTTACTTCCAGGTATTTTGGGATATAAAAACCTGCTGCGTGGATCAGTGCTCACGGCATCTCTATCAGAGAGAAGGGCACCCACCTAGTGCCCTGCTTTATAGATCTATTTCTGCCTCTTGGTCTCTTTCTTTCTTTAATTTCTTAATCCCCAGCTCCTCCACTCAGGTACCTGATTGTTTCCTTTTCTGCGATGGAGATGGACACGGGAAAGAGAGAAACACCCCCCACATTTTTTCCTTCTCATTTTAAACACTATACATCCATTAAGGACAATTCAGAAAGTATAGATGTGGGGAAAAAAAAAAAAAGCATAGGAGTGAAAAAAAGAAAAAGATAAAAATCATTCCTCATTTTCTTGTCATAGCATAATCCCTATATTTTTGTTTTGGTGTGTTTCCTAAGGCTATCCCCACAAGTATATATGTATGTGTAATGCTATGTCTATATCATGCTAATTTTACATTGATACACCCAATGTAAATTTTTTAATCCTGCCTTGTTCATCCTATCTAATAAAAGAATAATATGCAGATTGAACATCACTCAACGCATAAGATGGCTGGCCCCATGTGGTCAAAGATCCTGCCCCCATATGGACACAAGATGGCCACTACAAGATGGCCAGCAGGGGAGAGCAGTTGGGAGGGACCAGGCCTGCAAGGGAGGGCAATCAAGCCTGCAGGGGAGGGCAGTTAGGAGTGACCAGCTGGCAAAGGAGGGAAGTTGGGGGTGACCAGGCCTGCAGGGAAGGGCAGTTGGGGGGGACCCAGGCCTGAAGGGGAGGGCAATTAATGGCAAACAGGCTGGCAGGGGAGCAATTAGGCATCAATCAGGCTGGCAGCAGAGTGTAAGGGGGTGATCAGGCTTGTAGGCAGAAGTGGTTAGGTGCAATCAGGAAAGCAGGCAGGTGAGCAGTTGGAAGCCAGCAATCCTGGATCGTGAGAGGGATGTCCGACTGTCCATTTAGGCAGGATTGGCCTAAACGGACAGTCGGACATCCATTGAGGGGTCCCAGATTGGAGAGGGTGCAGGCTGGGCTGAGGGACACCCGCCCCCTCCGTGCACGAATTTCGTGCACTGAGCCTCTGATTAGCATTATAACATTCCCATGCTTGTACATGGTATTTAAAAGCAACATTTCCAACATCTGCATAATCTCATCAATTAGATCTGACATACATAATTAATCATTCATAGAGTATCTGACATTTAGATTTCTCATTTTCCTATTATCTATAAAAACTAGAAACATCTTTATACTCAAAGCTTTTCTCATATGTAGAGATTATTCCTTAGGATACATGCCCAGAAGTGAAACACCAGGTCGAAGAGTATAAACATTTTAAGCTTTTGATAAATACATTTTGAGTATGATTCCTTTCCACTCACCAAGACCTGCCTGGCCCTAGTATACTCCCATGAAGAAGCAACAAGCAAATTGTTCTTAGGACCTGATAGTTTGTAAATTATGCTCCTTCGTCCTATGGTGGTGAGAGAGAAGGGTGTGAGTTAGGGATAGGACTAAACCTGGCAGAAATTAAAGCCTAAGCCAGACCTTAGCCCAGGTTGTATTTTACTCAAAACATCATTTCTTGGTTTGGGGTTCCTTAAAAGATAATTTTAATTTCCAGACTACTATTTACTTCAGTGTATCTATTCTCCTACAAAAAGTGACAATCCAATCTTTGAGGCAAGAAATAAACATGACAAATGAGGAAAATGAAGAAGTAATTGCTACTGTGAGCACAGCCAATGTCAGTACAATTTGGAGGCCTGAACTACATGCCAGTGTATAATGCAGTGACCACCCTCTTTATGTTTTTTTTTTAAATTCCAAATTGCCCTCCTCTTTGGGAGCTGTCTTGTCCATAACTGGAAAAGTAATGAAAACTTACGGGATGGAGGCTTTGGACTTTCCTGGGGTTTGGTGCAAAATCCATTTATTCCCTTCCAATCAGAGTTTCTGGTGAGCCTTACAGATGAGGAAGCATCTCTTTCACATAACCTAAAACAATTTCCTAGAAAAAAGAGAAAAATGTTGGATGTTGTCTCCAAATGAGAAATGCCTGCCAAGTATATATTTCATTTAACAAAGTTAACTCATTGAGAAAATGAATATACTGCTCTATATATAAGCTATGTATAGGGATACTATGCTTGGTATCGTTTTAAAATATACATGTGTTGCTGATTAGAAAATTAGCAATTTACAACAAACATTTTATCAGATGTAAGTTTTATAAAAGTACTTTACTTTTCATAACAATGAAGGTTCTGGTGGAAATATTACGTATTATGTCACCCAGCTGTTTAGGTAGAGATTAGCAACCTCACAGACATGATAAACCAAGACACCAAGTTGCCAATATTATTGTGGCCAACTCTGGGTAGGAAGCTGCAATGTCAATGGGGCTCTATAAAGCCTTGTTTCTTCCAAGACACATTTCTCCAATTAAAAATCAACTTTAGCCCTGGCCTGTATGGCTCAGTTGATTGGAGTGTCATCCATACACCAAAAGCTGGCGGGATTGATCCCCATGTGGGAGGCAATCGATGGATATTTCTCATGTCTCTCTCTCTCCCTCTTCCTTCCTCTCTCTGAAATCAATTTTTAAAAATCAACTTTGGATATAGTCATGAGTTATGTGTAATTTTAAAACTATACACACAATTTTAATCCTATATAATAAAAGCCTAATATGCTATGTGTCTGGTCATTCAGTTGGCCATTTAACCAATCAAAGCATAATATGCTGATGATATACTAAGACCACTCAACCACTTGCTATGACGTGCACTGACCACCAGGCGACAGACGCTCTGACTGGTAGGTTAGCTTGCTGCTGGGGTCCGGCTAATTGGGACTGTGTGAGATGGACTGGACATGTCCTGGTGCCTTCCCATGGCCCCTCTCTTGCTGGTTAACCTCTCATGTCCCTCCCCGGACCCAATCGTGCACTGGTGGGGTCCCTTGGCCTGGCATGTGCCCTCATGTAATCTGGGGCCCTTAGGGGATGTCAGAGAGCAGGTTTCAGATGGCCGAACGACCGGTTGCTATGACACGCACTGACCACCAGGGGGCACTCAATATGGGCGCTGCCCCCTGATGGTCAGTGCACTCCCACAGCAGGAGAGCTGCTCAGCCAGAAGCCAGGAACATGGTTGGTGAGTGCAGCTGTGGTGGTGGGAACTTCTCCTATCTCTAAGGCAGTGCTACCAACCAGCAGGTGCAGTGGGGGGATGAGCAGGAGTGGTGCGGCACCCATCCCGTTTGGGTTCCTCCCCAGCTGCCTACCGCTTCGGCACTGCTACATCCCTCAGGGAATGTCATACTGCCAGTTTTGGCCAGATCCCCTCAGGCCAGGACTGCACCGGGCTGTGCACCAGGTCTCTGGTAAATATATAAAACTGTATCTATGTATATAAAAGCTTAATATGCTAAATGTCTGACTGTTCAGTTGACCGCTCGAGCAGTCGCTATGACACACACTGACCATCAGGGGGCAGATACTCCAATGGGTAGGTTTGCTGATGGGGTCTGACCAATCGAGACTGAGCGAGACGACATGGAGCCCTCCCACATCTCTAAAATATTTCTTTCTAATTAATTTCCTTTCAATGTGCATTAATTTGTGCACCGAGCCTCTAGATATAGTTTGGTAGTTTTTTTAATATAAGTTCTAAGCACCAGTAGAGTAGTATTAAAAAACTCCATGTACTCACCACACAGTTTCAACAATTAATATTAATACATGGCCAATAAATAGTTTCATCTGGACCCCACCCTCTTCTTCTCCCCTACTTATTTTAAAGCAAATTCCAAACATCATGTCAATTCTTCCATAAATACTTTAGTATGCATCTCAAACCAAATAACTTTTCAAACAATAACTTTTTTGTATTACTAAACAATAATTCCTTGTTATCATCACATTTTGGTCAAATAATGATTCAGTTTGGGCTCATAATTTTTTTAGTTGTTTTTTTCTAAATAGGTGCACACATTGAATATGGTTGATGCTTCCTGGGTAGGTCACCCTCTCTGTCCCCTCACCCCCTCCTTTTTTTGGTATGATTTATTTGTTGAAGAAATTAGGTCATTAGTTCTATAGAATTTCCCTCATTTGAGATTTTGTTAATTGCATCCCTATATAAGAATCAGTGAATGAGCCCTAACTGGTTTGGCTCAGTGGACAGAGTGTCGGCCTGCGGACTAGAGGGTCCCAAGTTCAATCCTGGTCAAGGGCATGTACCTTGGTTATGGGCATATCCCCAGTGGAGGGTGTGCAGGAGATGGCTGATCGATGTTTCTAACTCTCTATCCCTCTCCCTTCCTCTCTGTAAAAAATCAATAAAACATATTTATATATATATATAAAAAAAAGATCAGTGAATGAATGCCTAAGTAAATGAAACAACAAATCGATGTTTCTCTCCCTCTAAAATCAATCAATAAATATTTTTTAAAAAGAACCCTCATTCATTGCTGATGGGAATGTAAATCGGTACAGCCACTTTGGAAAACAGACTGGCGGGTCCTCAAAAACGTAAAAAATAGAGTTACCATATGACCCCGTAATCCCTCTTCTGGGTATCTACCTGAAAAACTAAAGAACATTTTACACAAAGATATATACACCTATATTCACTGCAGCATTATACCTGGTGGCCAAGACATGGAGACAACCAAGGTGTCCGTCCATAGATGGGTAAAGAGGTTATACACACACACACAAAATGGATACTACTCAACCATAAGAAGAAATACTGCCATTTGTGACAACATGGATGGACTTTAAGAATATTATGCTAAGTGAAATAAATCAGAAAAAGCTAAGAAGCATATGATTTCTTTTCATAAATCTCAGAGACACAGAAAACAGCATGGTGGTTCCAGAAGGAAGGGGGTGGAGGGTAGTAAGGGATAAAGAGGGATAAACATACAGTGAGGAAAGATGATTTGACTTTCAGTCGTGGCTACACAATGCAATGTATCACAGAAATGTACACTTGAAATCTATATGCCCCTGTTAGCCTATGCTACCCCAGCAAATAATAATAATAAAAGGAGAACCTAGGACATAGGCCACAATGGCCTAATACACCTAGAAATGTTTTTGAAATCTCATGCCTTAAAAAATTGGCATCGTTATATAAAATAATCATGCATGCTCATTTTAGTATAAAATAATATATCAAACTGCTTACTAGTTATAATCCCAATTTGCCCCTGAATATTATTTTCCCACCCTCGTCCTCCCCTAGGGCATCCTCACTATTCCTTCTTTAATGCCTATGGAAATACTGAGGTTCTCCTGTAACTAAAACTGAGTTCACTGTTAGTTTCTATTATTATTTTTATTTCAGGCATCACATCCAAATACTATTTTCAGTTTTATTTTTCTTACTGTGACTGGCAAAAGCACAGGGAGTGATTGCATTACTTTGTACCCTAGGATTGCTTCACAGAGACAGGAAGACCTTGACCCCATTCCTTCATCCCCGTTCCTGACCACAGAATCAAGGGCAGGGAAACCTTTATCACTGACCCTTTCACAAAACCTCCTGTGGCATGTCACCAGATTCTAATCATTGTCCCATGAGGGAAAAGCAAAAAACAAAATACTAGGTTAACTTTTTTTTTTTAATTGATTTTTTACAGAGAGGAAGGGAGAGAGGGAGAGAGAATTAGAAACATCGATGAGAGAAACATTGATCAACTGCCTCCTGCATATCCCTTACTGGGTATGTGCCCGCAACCAAGGTACATGCCCTTGACCAGAATCAAACCCGGGACCTTTCAGTCCGCAGGCTAATGCTCTATCCACTGAGCCAAACCGGTTTCGGCACTAGGCCAACTTTTTAATATATATTTAAATGAGGGTGTGTTACTGTGAAAGTAATAGTCAGAGTAAGTGGGGACTATGATGAATGTGGAATTTATTCAGCAAATCCAAAAATAGAAAAACCAAAGGGCAATTTCTTTGAAGTGATATTAATGACAGGTTTTAAAAAAGAAAATATTTATCCACAAAATAAAAGACACTACTGTAGACTTCTCATGGGCATATGTATTTGTGTAAAGGTTTTTGAAAGAACATTTTTGTTACATGATTCCATTTTATAAAATTCATCCTTTTGAAGCATATGATTCTGTGGTTTTTAGTATAGTCACAATTTGTGTACTAATCGCTACTATGTAATTTCAGAAGATTTTCATCATTCCAAAAAGAAATCCCGAATCCATTAGTACTCACATTTTTCCTCCCCTAACTGTAGTAGGAAACTATTAATCTATTTTCTGTCAATATGGATTTGCATATTCTGGACGTTTTATGCAAGTGAAATAATATATGGCTTTTTGTGACTGCCTTCCCCCCCCTCCTTTTTTTTAAGTGACTGCCTTCTTTTCACCTAGCAAATTTTCAAGGTTGTAGCATTTATCAATACTTGATTTTTTTATGGACAAATTTTATTCCATTGTATAGATATCCCAGATTTTGTTTAAATATTAGTCAATGGACTTTTAGGTGGTTTCCACTATTTGGCTATTATGAAGAATGCTGCTATGGACATTTGTGTATAAGGAGGGAACATCATTTTTCATTTCTTTGTGGCATATACTGAGGTAAAATTGCTGGGTCCTGTGGTAACTCTACAGTTAATCATTTGAGGAACTGCAAGACTGTTTTCCAAGTGGCTGTAGCACTTTATATTTCCATCAGCAATGTATGAGGGTTACAATTTTCCAAATCCTGGCCCACACGTTTTTATATTTTTAAGGTTTTTGTTTGTTTGTTTTAAAGCCATTCTAGGAGGTGTGAAATGGTATCTCATTGTAGTCTTGATTTGTATTTTCCATTGAGGATCTTTTCATATGCTTATAGTCATTTATATATCTTTTCTGAAAAAATGTACATTCAGCTCCTTTGCTCATTTCTTAACTGGTTGTCTTTTATTATCGTGTTGCAGAGTCTTTACATATTCTGGATAAATGTCCCTTTTCTGATATGACTGC